ATGAGAGTTCCTGGGCTTCCTCTTAGACACCCGGGAAGATGTGCAAGGCCCAAGGAGACCCAGGACATCGGGGATATGTGGCCACAGGCATCACAGTCCTGGCTTGATCCAGGTGGGGCTGGGCCTTTGGGTGTGAGTGGACCCAGGAAGAGCTGCCCAGACTCTGATCTGAGTCAAGGCGGAAGGGCAGGTTCCAGGGCCAGCCAGGGCCCTGACCAGAGCAGGAGGCAGCGGCGTGGAGGCTGCAGGCCGTCCCTGGGTTCCCGGGGGAGGAGGCAGTGGGAGGCGCTGGCTTCCTTCCAGTGCCCTTCCATCCCCGCCGTGTGACTTTTAACCCGCGACCCCACGGGGGTTGTATGTGTCCCCCTCCGAGACTGTTGGCAGGAACTCTGATCTGGGGAGTGTCCACTGGTCCCAGGTACCCCCCCCCCCCCGTTCACCTCCTCAGGCCCCAGCTGGCTCTGAGGCAGGTGCTGCCCCCACAGATGCAGAAACTGAGGCCACGCCACTCCCCACAAGTGCTAGGAGGGGACAGAGCAGGACCTCAGGCCAGACCCCCGCCCAGTACCGCGCACGACCAGCGTCTCCTTCAGACTTCGCCATTTTTGGCCCAGTCCGGGGTGACAGCATCGCAAATGCTCTCTGGAAGGTTGAGAGCCTCGAGCTCAGCCCCTTGAGCCTCCCCACCCCCACCATGCCCTGCTCGGATGCAGGCCCCTGGGCGCAGGGAGGGCAGGAGAGCACCCTCTGCCGCCACCTGGGGGGCGGGCGGGGCTGCCATCCCCCCTGTCGCTCCCCGTGGCTGGGGGTCTGGGGGCTCAAGACAAGGCGCCCGGATGAGCAGGGATGAACAGACGAGAGCTGCCCGCCCCGGCCACTCTGAGCTGGCCGCTGGGCCCGCTGCTGGGTTTGCTCCTCGCTGCCCCCCAGCCCAGACCAAGTGCCCCAGCACCGTCCAGACCTGTGCATGTGGCGGTGGAAGTGGGGGGTTGGGGGGGACTTGGCCCTGCTGAGGCTGTGACTGCTGACAAGAAGAGAACCCGCTCTGGCCCCAGAGGGCCTGGCGGAAATGCAGATTTCAGGCCCACCGAGCGGGTGGGGTCACAGCCCACCTGGTGCACAGTGACATCTGAGGAGCAGCACTCTGAGCAGGTCCCCGAGCATTTGAGGGACTCCCTTTAGGGGGGTGGATTTCGGTCTTGGGTTCCAGACACCCCAGAGAGCTCTGAGACACTGCTCTGAGCCTAGTTTTCAAGGCGGTGAAGATAGCAGGACACCCCGCATTGCATGTTTGGGGGAAACAGAGCCACACATGACGGGGGTGAGGAGCCCACACCATCTGAATGCAGGCTGGCCCTGCCCTGGGCACCGTCCTGACCCCAGCCCACTGCCGGCTGCACCCTGAGAAACAGACCCTGGGAACCAGCGTGTGGGTGCAATGCCACAGATAGTGTGTGGGCCTCCTGGTGGGTGGGGGTCTCTCAGCGTCGTAGGCGCGGTCATCCTGAAGCCCGCCTGTGGGGGGTGTGCCCCAAACGACCCAGTGGCCGCTGGAGGGGATCATGCAGGCCCCAAGGTTGTCTGAAATCTTGGCGCTGCCAAGGGCCTGGGCTCCTCTGGTCTGAGGCTGTGCTGTGATCAGTCGTGTCCAACTCAGTGTGACCCCGTGGACTGTAGCCCACCAGGCTCCTCTGTCCATGGGACTTCCAGGCAAGAGCACTGGAGTGGGTTGCCATGCCCTCCTCAGGGGGATCTTCCCAGCCCAGGGATCGAACCCATGTCTCTTGCATCTGCTGCATTGGGAGGAGGGTTCTTTACCTGCAGGGCCAGATTCAATTCCTGCTTCTTCCTCACAGTGGAACCTCAGGCAAGAAAGCCAGCCTCCCTGAGCCTGGCTCTGCTCCTTCAGGAGATGGGGTGCTGTAGTGCCTGCCCATGGGGCTGCCCGGGGCCCTGGCCACCGAGCCTGGGACACAGTCGGTTGGCTGGGACTTCCGTCTCTGACGCCCCAGCAGGGCTCCGGAGGAGAGCTGAGGCCAGCGCAGGCCTGCATGTGCTGCAGCAGTCTGGCTATAAAGGGACACGCACTGTCTTTCATGTCCTTTGGGCGTGGTGAGGGCCAGAGGGGGGCCCAGGGCTGGTGGGCAGTGGACGGAGCCACAGCAGCTGCCATGTAGCACGAGGCTCAGTCCTTCTGGGATGGTTTCCTCCAAGATACCTCTTCCAGAATTCTGAGAAGGCAGCAGGGCAGGGCAGCTCACCTGCTTCAGAATCAATGAGGCTACTGGAGTGGACATCACGCGGACCAGAGGTGGAGGGTTGGGACCGCAGAGGCCAGTTCCTCTGACCTGTGTTTCTCCACACGGCTTGTTCTGCACAATCCCCTCCACACCCACCCTCTGCCTCAAGGGTCTCCTTTACCGTCTCCCACACAGGCCACGGTAGCATCTGCAGTCCTCAGGGAGGTTGGGCCCTTGAGCCTCTTCCACAGGTTGGAGAATCATGAAGATGGCAGGCCCAGAGATCTTCTAGCCACCTTTTTTTTTTTTTTTTAATTAAATTTTTGACTGTCCTGGGTCTTCATTGCTTTGCCCTGGCCTTCTGTAGCTGCGGAGAGCAGCCCCTGCTCTCTTGTTGGCGGTACACGGGCTGCTTATTGCAGTGGCTTCTCTCGTTGCAGAGCACAGGTCGAGAACGTGCAGGCTCTCAGTAGTTGAGGCACACAGTCTTAGTTGCATGTGGAATCTTCCCGGACCGGGGCTCAAACCCGTGTCCCTGCGCTGGCAGGAGGATTCTTATCCACTGTACCACCAGGGAAGTTCCCTTCTAGACACCTTTTAAAGGAGCCCTGGGTCAGGAATGTACCTTTCAGGAAGGGCAGCTGCACAGGGTGTCTCCCTGGCCAGGCAGCTGTTCACGGCCCTCATCACCTGTCATTTACCAAGTCCGCTTCTTTAGGTCGGCACGCTTCTTCAACTTAAAATGGGAACTCTGTAGCTCTCCTATCAAATCTATTTTATTTTTCCCAATACATATTTAAGTAAATATGTAACTTCTCAAATTAAAAGAAGACTGCTCACCCAGATACCACCTGAAATGGCCTTGTTTACCAGCAGTGTGACAAATACAGGTCATGTTAGAGGAAAAGCCTGGATTTTAGGACGAGCATCTTGTTTCCTAGATGTGTGACTTAGGTGGGCCACATCTGCTCCAAGAGCATGGTGTCCGCTCCTGCAGAGGTGAGCGAGCGCCTCGAGATAGGTCATCCAGGCATCCAGGTACGGGGCCAGGCGGCGGCCCACACAGTGCTTTTGGAAGCCTGCCCTCATGGACTTCTGTCCCTGCTTTTAATCCCCACTTGATTGTATAGGTAAAAAGCCAGTTGTTCAGTCGCTCAGTCGTGTCCAACTCTTTGCGACCCCATAGACTGCAGCACGCCAGGCTTCCCTGACCTTCACTATTTCCTGGAGTTTGTTCAAACTCATGTCCGTCGAGTCGATGATGCCATCCAATCATCTCATCCTCTGTTGCCCCCTTCTCCTGCTGACCTCAATCTTTCCTAGGATCAGGGTCTTTTCCAATGAGTCGGCTCTTCGCATCAGGTAGCCAGTATCAGAAAGTAAATAGACTTTTCCAAGGTTAACAGCCAGATTAGCGGCCCAGCCACGGGTGGCTGGAGCCAGAGCCCCCCTTCTCCTCTGCTGACCTGGCTGGGACACCAAAGGCTGGGCCTCCGAGCTGGTCTGCTGGCCCTTTGCCCCTGGAAGCCTGTGTAGAAGCTTCCCTCCTGCTGCCACATGTAGTCGCCAGGAGCTGAACAGAAGAACCCAGAAGGCTGGGTGGGAAAGGGCAGCTTCCGTGTGTGTGGGTGCAAGATTCAGGTGTGTTAAAGTCACAGTTCTCAGGCATGAGGTGGGGCGGTGGTGAAGACTCCGCCTGCCAATGTAGCAGACACGGGTTCAATCCCTGGGTGGGGAAGATCCCCTGGAGGAGGAAATGACAACCCAGTCCAGTCTTCTTGCTGGACAGTTCCACGGACGGAGGGGCCTGGCGGGCTACGGTCCATGGAGTGACAACAATGAAATTATCACTAAGGTCTCAAAGCTTGTGAGCGCCCTTAGGGGACAAAAGGCATGAATTAGAGCACCAAGGTTATCACTCTTAGTTGCGTCCCAGCTTGCTGTCCAGAGCAGGAGAATGGTGTGTGGGGCTACGGTACCGAGAGGGAAGCTGCCCTAGTCTCTAGAGGAAGCCAGGGAACCAGGGCTAAAAGAAGAATCACAGTGGCCAACATTCACTGAGCTTCTGCTCTGTGCCCCATGCAGGGCTAAGTCCTTCAGCACTTTGAGCAACCACAAAGGGTAGATACTATTATTATTACTATTATTATTCTAGATAGATATATGAGGCAGGCGGCCTTCCCACGTGGCTCAGTGGTAAAGAATCCATCTGCAATGCGGGAGACTCTTGGTTCAGTCCGTGGCTGGGGAAGATCTCCCGGGGAAGAGAATGGCTACCCACTCCAGTATTCTTGCCAAGGAAACCCCATGGACAGAGGGGCCTGGGGAACTATGTAGTGCTTGGGGTCGCAAAGAGTGGGACAGGACTGAGCACACACTGAGGCACAGAGAAGTTAAGTGATTCCTGCAAGGTCACACAGCGGCAGAGATCGGAACACATACTGAATATTGGGGCTTCATTCCCTGCCAGATTGCTGTTGATGTGAATGTGTCAAAGGCAGAAGGGTGGGCAGAGAGCTTGCGGGGCAGGGCGGGGGGTAGAGAAATGGGGGCGCTGCTCCACTCACCCTTTAAGCCTGCGGAGGGCTGGCCACCCAGGGTCATTAAGGAAGGTAGGCAGGACCACCTATCACCTGCAGGACCTGGGATGAGGCCTCCTTCCTCCCTTGCACGTGCCCACCACCCTGGCCCGTGGGAGGGTTCTGGAGGCCTGGGCTCACCATTTCCAACCTGAAGGCGCCCCCGCTTCCGTCCCTGCAGCCTCCTCCTCGTGCAAGATCCTCAAGTGCAACTCTGAGTTCTGGAGCGCCACGGCGGGCAGCCACGCGCCAGCTGCGGACGACGCACCGGAGTTCTGCGCGGCGCTGCGCACCTACGCCCTGTGCACGCGGCGCACAGCGCGCACCTGCCGGGGGGACCTGGCCTACCACTCAGCGGTCCATGGCATCGAGGACCTCATGAGCCAGCACAACTGCTCCAAGGATGGCCCCACGTCGCAGCCACACCTGCGCACACTGCCGCCGCCCGGGGACAGCCAGGAGCGCTCAGACAGCCCGGAGATCTGCCACTACGAGAAGAGCTTCCACAACCGCGCAGCCGCCCCCAACTACACGCACTGTGGCCTCTTTGGGGACCCGCACCTCCGGACTTTCACAGACCGTTTCCAGACCTGCAAGGTGCAGGGCGCCTGGCCGCTCATCGACAATAATTACCTGAACGTGCAGGTCACCAACACACCGGTGCTGCCTGGCTCGGCGGCCACCGCCACCAGCAAGGTATGGGGGAAGCTGGGGTGGCAAGGCAGTGGGGAGAGGGGGTGGCAGGGTGTCACAGCACCAGGCCCTAGGGTCAGGAGCGCCCAGACTTTCCCCCATCAGATCCAGATGCCTCCTGCACCCACCATGTTCTTATTGTCAGTCAATGAGCTGGTTATTAGGCAGGAATTTTCTAGACATTCTTTGTCATCAGGTAAACCATCCTGGTAGCTCAGCTGGTAAAGAATCCGCCTGCAATGCAGGAGACCCAAATTTGATTCCTGGATGGGAAGATCCCCTGGAGAAGGGATCAGCCACCCACTCTAGTATTCTTGGCCTTCCCTGATGGTTCAGACAGTAAAGAATCCGCCTGCAATGCAGGAGACCTGCCATTCGATCCCTGGGTTGGGAAGATCTCCTGGAGAAGGAAATGGCTACCCACTCCAGTATTCTTGCCTGGCGAATTTCACTGACAGGAGCGTGGCGGGTTACAGTCCATGGGGTCGCAAAGAGTCAGAAATGATTTAGCGGCTAAACAACAAAACACCCTGGAATCACCTCTGCCGTTTGCCTAGAGTGGGATGTTTCTTTAACTGCCAGCCACCATCCACTAGGGGTCTTTGAAATCAGCACCCTAGGGTCACAAGCTAGCACATAGGCATAGATTTGTTGGGGGGGGGGGGGGGGGGGTTGGGGCCAGAGTAGAACAAGATAGCAAAACCTAGCCTGCCTTAAAGGCAATTTATGAATGCTTTGTAAGTGGGAGAGTAAACATTTAGGAAACTTAGTTGCTGTTGTTTATGTGCCTGCACATTGGGTATAGATGTAAGATGGATTTTTTTTCCTGGGGTTAATAGTCAGGAAAGTTTAGAAACACTCCCAGAGCATTCAGTTTCAAACTTTTGGAGTATTCTTCTCTTTTGCCTCAAACTGTGTTTTGGTAGAAGTCCAGTGTCAAATCCTGATTAAGAGGAGCCTCTATTCAGGTATGTTTCCGCCGTTGTCATCATTGCACTTCCTGTCCAGTAGGGGTCAAACCCCACCCGAGACAAGTGGGCCTGACAGCCTCCTGGGGGTGACGGCCCTACCAGGGATTCTCACTGAGGCTGCGCGTTTACAAACTGAGCAGATTTTAGATGACAGTGGTTCTGGAGCCCCAAGCCGGTCTGACCCCAGATATCTGAGTGGGGATCAGAAGTGTTCTTTGTTTAAAGCTCCCAGTTAAAGCTCTGAGGCATGACGGGCATTACAGATGCTGGCTGGAGGACAGGGCTGCAGGATGCCAGGGGGCACCGGGAAGAGGGAACAAGTGAGGACAGGGCATCAGCCCACTGGGCACCCCAGGGGCCACCCAGGCAGCCTCCCCAGCCGGGGCACCTCCATTTAACACATCTGGAACTGAGACTTTAAGAGGGAAAGCGGCCTCCCCACCCAAGTGCATTCGGCTGGAAACCACGCTAGGATTTCACCCGGGCCAGGGGACTCCAGAGCCCAACAGGGTCTCGCTGTCAGGAGAGGCAGTTCCCACCTGGAAGCCCCCGAGGCTACCAAGAGCCAGTCGTCTTCTGACCCAGGGAGGCTTCAGGGTCTGGGTGGCAGGACTGAAGTGCTGCTCTCAGAGCCCCACCCAGAGGCAGCCCCGATGTGGCCGGGGCCCAGGCGATGGGACATTCAAGTCCTCTTCAGACTCTTCCCCCCGCCCCATTTGCAGGGAGGGTCTCCCGTGGCCTCACATTCAGACTCAGCCAGAGGACATGGTCTCAAGTCCAGGAGGCCCAGGGTGATGGGAGCCCAGGCGACAGGGACATCTCTGCCTCCCCAGGGCCTGGCCCTCAGAGTCCCTGGGGCTTCCGATCTGGCAGTGGGTCTGTTTTGCCAAGAAGAGCACGTTGCAGGGCAGTGTGTGGAGCAGCGCCAGGCTGGCCCACAAGGGTGTTTCTGTTCTTTCTCATCCCTCCACACCCCAGGGTAGGACACTGAGGTGACCGGCCGCCAGGAAAATTCCTGCCACCTCCCTCTGCTCCGGTGGCCCCTGCCTGCCCACAGGGATCTCTCCGGGGACCAGCGGCTGGGTCGAAAACAAGCAGGCCGTGGCCCCGTGGGTGCTCTTACAGGCCTCTGGCCCCGGGCCATGAAGCCCGGTAGGCGGCGAGTTGCGGGCTCGTGTCTTCCCCACGCCCAGCCCTCTGCAGACCCAGGGGGGCCCGTGGCAAGGTCGCGGCTGCGCTCTCTGCGGCCCCTTCCCCTTCCCTTCCCGCCTTTCTCCCAGGAGCCAAAATAAATGAGTGTCGGGAGCCTGAGGCTGTGGCTTCTAAATCCAGCAGCAAACATGCCGTGGAGGGGGACCCCGCCTCCCCGTCCCCTCCTGGCAGGGAGCAGAGAGAGGCTCCCGAGGGTGTGAGAGGACTCTGGGCCTCAGGGGACCTGACCCAGAGTGGCGCCGGGATCAGGGGTGATAACAGACCTGGGCAGGGCTGTGGCCCCTTAGACTGGGGGGGACGAGGTAGAGAAAGAGCTTTTAGGTCACGTATCCGGGAGTCCTGCAGGCCAGGGCGAGGTGCCTGGCTGTAGAACACCTCCATGCCACCCTGGGCTCTCTGGACACTCGGTGGGACCCTTAGCTCAGAGGTGGTTCATTCCTTCATTCATTCGTTCTTGCGTTCCATTCATTCATTCATGTGACCCACACGTTTCAGATGCTTGCTCTGTGGCCGGCTTACTGGGGGGCACCATGGTCGGCAGAGCTGCCTAAGCAGACAGGGAGCGCCTCCCTTCCTCCTGCGGCATGGACCCTCCAGACAGGCCTGGCACTCTGCCGCAGAGCCCCCTAATCAAGGCAGCCCCTTTCTGCCGTGACCCAGGGCCACCTCGGTCTTCCCGGTGGGAGAAACGCTTGAGCAGCGCCCTCTCTGGCCTCCCCGTCAGCCAGAAGGTAGTGCGGGGTCTGTTGGAGGCTGAACGGCAGGCTCCCTAGTCTGAGGCCAAGCCCAGCCCGGGCCGCAGGGCGGAGACCGGGGCTGTGTGTGCCCAGGGGAGAGACACCAATAGCTGCTTTGCAGCGCCCTCGGCCTGCCTCGGCCTGTTCTGTGGGCATTCAGTCTCAGGTGTTTGTTCCTCCGCCGATGCAGATGGCTCTTCTGTGCCAGCCTCTGTGCTAGGCGACGCCTCCTGCCCAGCAGCCCCCGGGTTAATGATGGACGGCAGAGATCAGCCCCGGGTGCCCGTGACGGGGGCTGGGGCAGCGGGATGCTGAGGGTCTCAGGGTCTGGGGGAGGGCGGGTGGCTCCACCCGGAGCCCTGGGGAAGGCCTCCAGCACGTCCTGGCCCTGAGCTTACCCCCAGGCAGGTGGAGTACGGGCTTTTATCTCCAAGGTAGTGGAGCCCTGGCTTCACAATCCCCAATTCCCAGGTGGCGCTAGTGGTAAAGAACCTGCCTGCCCAAGCAGGAGAGGTAGGAGACATGGGTTCGATCCCTGGGTTGGGAAGATTCCCCCGAGGAGGGCATGGCAACCCACTCCAGTGTTCTTGCCTGGAGAATCCCATGGACAGAGGAGCCTGGTGGGTTACAGTCCATAGGGTCACACACAGTCCGACACGACGGAAGCACCTTAGCCCACACGCACTCCCCAGCCACGGTGCCTCACCCAGGAGCGTGACATCCTCGCTGCCCAGCCCTGCTCAGCGGCCCTCCCCGTTCTCTTGGAGAGCCTGGATCTAGAGTTTTCCACCCCAGGCTGACAGTTCGGCTTCCTATTCCCGTGGGGCCTGCCTCCCGGTCCTGCCCCACCCCCTGCGCTGCCTTTCTCTCTCCTGCCGTGCTGGAGGCACCCCGTTTTGAACCTCAGGGAGGAACTCGGGTCTCCGTGCCCCCGCCCCGTGCAGGTTCCCCCAGCACTCGCATTCCCAGCATCTTTCACCCCTTGGGCCCGTAACATCACCCCCCGCCCCCGCAGTGTGGGCCCATGAGGACGGGGGTCGTGGACTGCTTCCTCCCCGCGTGTGGACACAGCCCCCAGCCCCAGGCCTGGCCCCGCAGGTCGTTTGATGACACGCGGCTCCGCCCACCGCCCGGTGGTGGGGGGCCGGGGAGCGCGGGCCCCCGGGGAGCGGGGCGGGCGAGGCGGGAGCGGCAGCCGCGCCAGTGGCCGCGTTGGCAGCCGGCCGCCCCGCTTTCGACAGGCCCCCTTCATGCTGTTACTTGTGGTTGAGTCCCAGGCCCCGGTGCCAAGAGGAGGCGAGCAGCCTGTCAGCCTTCCAGCAGACTGTCTCCGCTAGCGACGGTGGGGAGAGTGAAACCAGCCTTTCCTGTTCCAGGGAGGCCGATGGCAGCGGGGAGGCTGGCCCGCTCCCCACCCGAGGCCTGTGTGTGTCTGTGTGGCCCTGCGCAGGGACCCCGGCCCCGCGGCCCACGGCCCGCCCCCGCCCCCCTCCAAGGACCACCCACTGCCCGGACCACCCTGGTGCTCCCCACCCCGCAGGCAGGCGGCCTCCGCATGGGGTGAGAGTCTTGGATGGAGGCAAAGCAGCCGGAGGTGGGTCCCTGGGCAGGTCTGGGTGGTGGGGGAGTGGCCGCGCCGTGGGCTTCGGCGAGGCGTAGGGCCCGGGCGGAGTGGCGGGGCTGCAGCCCTCCTGGACATCCCTCAGTGATTCAGAGGGCTGCCTCCCGGACCAGCTATGACCTCCCGGGCGGAGATGGGGAAATGGAACCCCTGGGACCAGGGAGCTAGGCACGCGGGGCCCATCCGACGTTGCCCTCTGTGATTCGGACAGCGCCTCCAGCCTCAGTTTCTGAGCACCAGGCCCTGCTCGCGTCCCATAAGGACTAGACGGTGTGCCCCTAGACGGTGCGCCCCCTTCCCACCCGCCTAGTCATCCGCCGGCCCTGCAGCCCCAGCGCCTCTGCACCCAGACGTCGAGGGTCCATGAAAAGGGTTGCCTTCCTTTTAGAGTCCGAAGGAGAAAACCAGCGTGAGCCAGCCTGGACTGTATCAGTCTTTACACCCATGCAGTCACACGAGGTGGTTTTTAATGGGTTTTTTTTTTTTTTTTTAATCGGTTTGGCTGCCCTGGGTCTTTGTCTTTGCACGCGGGATCTTCGGTCTTTGTTGCGGCATGTGGGATCTCATTCCCTGACCAGGGATTGAATCCGGCCCCCCCTGGCGTTGGGAGCGTGGAGTGATAGCCCCTGGGCCACCAGGGAAGTCCCTAATGTTTACCGTTCCTGATGGAGGCAGGGACGCAGGAAGGCCCAAGGGCCTGGAGTTCCCCCAAAGTGGTACTGTGGCCAGCCTCTCTCAGACTTCCCCCTCATCCTCACGTTTCTCAGGAACAGGGTGAGAAGGGCCAGGGTCTTGTCTGTGTTCCCCCCGAGGGCCCTCATCCACCGCTGGTCACCCCGGGCTTTACACTATGTGAGGGGACCTGCAGAGCAGTGGCAAAACGCAGCGGGGGACACCTCCCTCGGGCTCTCGATCTTTCCACCCTGTTGGTTTGCTCATCCCGGAACCTTCTGTAGCCACTAGGCTGCCCCCTCCAGTCCTCGGGGCTCTCAGCCGCTGCTCCCGAGGCCCCCAGCCAGGGCCAGCTCCCCCTGGGCTCCGGGCCGTGCCCCTGGCTACCCCAGAACTGTGGGCAGATGCAGGCCCCAGCCTGTGCCCACCACACGCCCGCGGTCCTGGCTGCCCCTCCCCGACCCTGCTGCCCTCGCTGCCCCATCACTGCCACTCTGGGGTTCTCCTCGGCATCCAGCAGGTCTGGGCCCTTGCTCTGTCTCATGCCCACCCTTAGGCCAGACACTCCTCTCGTGCATTGCTGCGTTGCCCTCAGCCCGGAGAGCCGTGCAGGCCACTTTTATGGCCTTCAGCTGCCACGCGGCCCCCGGGACCCAGCAGCCCCCTGCCCTTCCACCTTCAGACATCACGGGGAGGTGGGGTGCCCCAGGTGGTGAGGCTCTTCCTCTGCAGGCTTGGTGGTGGGGGTGACGGGGCAGGGCCTGAGAACGGGGGCTGGGGGCCCTGCAGAGGTTCGGGAGTGGGCTCTTAGCTGGGGACCCAAAAGGCCTGGGCACCGTCTTGCCCCCATCACCCCTCCTCCCTGCCTGGCTTCAGGCTGCGAGTCCAAGTTCTGGTTGCCCTTGGTCCGGGTGGTGCCATGGCTGTCAAGGCAGCCAGAGACAGCGGTGGCAAAACAGTGGCCCCGAACAACAGGAACGGGGTGGGGGGATTCCAGCTTCACTCACGGCTCTGCCTCCCTCAGTCTTCCTGGTTACATTGGGAAAGGAGGCACAGCTGCGCATCTCAGCCTTGATGATAGGAGACAGGGCACTCCGCGGGCTGCTTCTCTCTTGTCCTTCCCCCAGGCCACCCACCCTATGACTTCTTTGGCCAGAAATGCCCAGTGGCTGCAAACCTAGAGCCCAGTCCCAGCTCTGCCTCCTGCTGGCTGTGTGACCTTGGGCCAGTCACTTTACTGTCTGAACGAAAATGTCCTCATCTGTAAACTGGGGGTATCGTCCCCTCCCCAGCAGCACCGCACAGGCCCGTTAGTAATAAACGCGGCGAGTGAGCCTGTGTCTGTGTTCTCAGGAGGAGAGTTCCTGACAGAGCTACTTGGTCTTCTGCTTCTCCAGCAGCTCAGGGCAGCCCCTGCCCCGGCTGCAGGCTCAGCAGAAATGGGCCTCCCTGCCCCCTGGCTGCAGCTGCCCTTTCTGCCTGGAGCCCCACATCTCCCTTCTGCTGACCAGCACCTCCCCCCCAACCCCCCACCACCACTTCCTCCGCTCCTGCCAAGGCCAGGCTGGGAGCGCCCTCGGGCCAGCCCCGCCACCGTGGCCTCTGGTGGCCTCTGTCTCTCTGGACTTGGTCTGCTTGTTCTTTCTGTGAACATCAGTCTCTTCTGTTCTATCTGCTGTCTTGATTCAGCCCAGGGCTTACAGTCCTTTGGTTGTGGACTGTATCAGTTTCCTATCACTGCTGTAACAAGTACCACAAATTAAGTGATTCAGATAGAAATTGAGTCCCTTATACTCCTGAAGGCGAAAAGTCTGAAACGAGTCTTTAAAAAGCTCAACGTGTTGGTCGGGCCAATCCTTCTGGGGGCTCTGGGGAGAGTCTCTTCATTGCTTATTCCAGGCCTCTGCTGGTTGCCGGGATCCTTCAACTTGTGGCCGTGTCCCTCTAGTCTGCTGCCGTGAAAACACCACCTTCTCTTCTGCGGTCAAGATCTCCTGCCTCTGTCTTACAAGGACACATGTGATTACACTTAGAGTCTGTCAGGATCATGTCTCCATCTCAGTGTCCTTAACCTAATCCCACCTGTAAAATCCCATTTGCCATTGTTGTTGTCCAGTCACCAAGTCGTGTACCAACTCTTTGTGGCATGGAATGCAGCACCGCAGGCCTCCCTGTCCCTCACCGTCTCCTGGAGTTTGCCCAAATTCATGTCTATTGCATCAGTGATGCCATCCAGCCATCTCACCCTCTGTTGCCCCCTTCTTCTGCCTTCAATCCTTCCCAGCATCAGGGTCTTTTCCAATGTGCTGGCTGTTCCCATCAGGTGGCCCAAAGTATTAGAGTTTTAACAGGTTCCGGGGTTTAGGGCGTGATATCTTGGAGGCTGTTATTCAACCTACCACAGTGGATAAAGACCTTTTATTTTTAATTAGCCCTGCTTGTCCCTCTGCATGACTGCCCTCTGCATATAGTAAATGAGCTGCTTTTCTATTTAGAAAAGTACTTTCTAAAGTTCCCTTTATAAATAAGTTTTTTTTAATTTAAGCAAATTGTCTTAAAGAAAAATATTAAATGCATAATAGTGCAGGTCTCCCCGAACATGGCCAAAACAGGGAAGGGACAGTCTGGGGCACCCTGGGGTCTCCTGCCTTCTGCTCATGCAGAGCATCTGATGAGTCCAGGGCTGGGCCTCCTCCCCCGCAGTCACCAGCACCATCTCACCCCCTGTGTCTCTCTGCCCTCCGGCCCGCAGCTCACCATCATCTTCAAGAACTTCCAGGAGTGTGTGGACCAGAAGGTGTACCAGGCTGAGATGGACGAGCTGCCGGCCGCCTTCGCCGACGGCTCCAAAAACGGCGGGGACAAGCACGGGGCCAACAGCCTGAAGATCACGGAGAAGGTGTCGGGCCAGCACGTGGAGATCCAGGCCAAGTACATCGGCACCACCATCGTGGTGCGCCAGGTGGGGCGCTACCTGACGTTCGCCGTGCGCATGCCCGAGGAGGTGGTCAACGCCGTGGAGGACCGCGACAGCCAGGGCCTCTACCTCTGCCTGCGGGGCTGCCCCCTCAACCAGCAGATCGACTTCCAAGCCTTCCGAGCCGGCGCGGCCGAGGGTCCCGGCGTCCCCCAGCCGCCGGCTGCCAGCCCCGCGCCCCCAGCCCCGGACACCTTCCCCTACGAGACGGCCGTGGCCAAGTGCAAGGAGAAGCTGCCCGTGGAGGACCTGTACTACCAGGCCTGCGTCTTCGACCTGCTCACCACGGGGGACGTGAACTTCACGCTGGCCGCCTACTACGCCCTGGAGGACGTGAAGATGCTTCACTCCAACAAGGACAAGCTGCACCTGTACGCGAGGACTCGGGAGCCGCCAGGCCGGGCGGGGGCTGCCCCTGGGCCGCCCCCGGCCCCCTGGCCCCTCCTCGGCACCCTCCTGCTCCTGGCCTTGCTCCCCACACTCCCGGGGGCCGCCTAGGACGGACCGCGGGGGCAGCCCCTCACTGCACCGGGGGCCGGTGGCTTCCTGGTGGCCCCACGGTACCCACAGGGCTCACCCGCGGGGGACAGTTACCTCCCCGCCGCCTTGGGCTGCCTGCTGGCGAGGGCTGGGGGGCGTGGGATGTCCCCGCCTTGCCCTCCCCCCCGGGGGCCCGCGACCAGGTGGTGGCGACGGGTGCTGTGATGTGTGTGACCTCCAGCTGTGCAGAGAGCGAGCTGCGTCCCCACCCCGGCCCCGTCCCCGCGCGCCCCACCGTATGAATGTGCAGATCAGAGCCCCAGCCCCCACCCGAAGCCCCCCACCCCCGCGCCAGAGACCCTGAGCGGGGCAGCACCGTCAAGCTGCTCCCACCCCTGCAATGCACTGAGAGGCCCAGCTGACTGCTGCACACGCGCCGGGGCCGCCTGCACCCACCGCACGCACACACTCCACACTCGCACACACGGAGCCGCGGGCGGGGGCGGCCCAGGCTGGACCCCTGAGCAGGGCATCCCTTCCTGCTGGGCTTTTAGGACAAGCCCCAGGGCGCTGCTTGGCGTCTGTAGAAAACTGAGGGAACTCTTTGGCCAAAACGTTGCGCCCTCCCGGTGTCTTCCCACCCGTGGCCTCCCCGTGAGCCCAGGAGAGACCAGCAGGCGCCCCCCAGCTGGGCACAGGTTCGGCCCTGCTCGTTGGCGCGCTCTGAGCAATGACCTGCTCCGGCCCTGACCCCCACCGCCCGTCCTCCCGTCCACCGTCCTTAGGAAGTCAAACCTTTTTTCTAAGTTGTCTACACGGAGAACGACAGCCTTGAAGTCTGGTCCTCCCCAGCAGGTGGTAAGAGCCGGCGGGCAGGGAAGCTGGGGCCGCAGGCTGTGGACCGGGGACCCAGTGGAGAGGGCTAGCTGGCCTGCCCTCATCCTCTGCTTTCTCCTCGCTTGCCCGCGCCCCGCCCAGAGCCCTGCTCCCCACCCTGCCCACCCACACGTCTGCCTTCCAGGGAGAGGAGCGGCAGGACGTCTCAGCCCTTAGCATCCCTGGCAGGGTCCCCTCCGGCTCAGATTTCGTTTTAAGCCCCGCGGCCACGCGGAGACTTCCCAACCGTTGGTCAGCCCGGCTGTCCATCCGAGTCCCGCCTCCGCTGCTGTTTCAGAGGCCTCCGCGGGCTGGGCTCCACCCCCAAAGGCGTGGCCGTGCCCCCGGGGCTCCCCTTCCGCAAGCCCCACATCCCCCCCCCACCCCGTCACTGTCCCCCCGCCGGCCACCCTCTGCTGACCCCGGGGACCTCTCATACACTGGCCCAGGAGGCTGCGGACTGGTCCCCGCCTCCCCCTCCAAGAGGTCCCCCTCGGAGCCCTGCCAAGCTGCGGGCTGGGCGGGCAGGCGGGCGGGAGTGTGGCCCCGGCCCCTCCCTGCTGGTTTTTAGATGGTCCTTATGTTGGAAGTAAAAAGTGAAGCACTTTATTTTGGTTGTGTTTGATCACGTTCTGCTTGGAAGTGGGGGCCCCTCACTGTGTCCGGCGTCTGCGACCTGTGTGGCGTGTCACCGCGTGTACATACTGTAAATTATTTATTAATGGCTAAATGCAAGTAAAGTTTGGGGGGTTTTTTGTTTTGTTATTTTCTTTTGGACTGTGTGTCAGAGTTTGTTTTCTCAACGGATGTTGGTTCCCTTGGGGGTGTTGGGTGTCCCCTTGATGGGGGGAGTATCCCCAGGGTGTGTGTACCTGGGAGGGGGCAGCACATGGGTGTGTGTGTGTGAGCTGAGTGTTGTGAATGCCTGCAGAAGGGGAAGCAATTAACCAACCAAAGCCCCCCACTTCTCTGAAATCACTTTCCTTGCTGTGAGCTGTCTTTGGGACTTGAGGGGTCCAGGTTCCCATGCAAAGCTGGCATCAGCCCAAAAACAGATGACCACTTGCTGCAGGAACATGGAGGGCGGTTGGGACCAGGTTGGGGTGGGCTGGCCTGAGATCTGGGAGGAGTCATCTCAGCTTCTCCCCTCAGTGTGGGACCCAGGAGCGGGGACTAGCTGCCTCCCTCCCCAGAGGTTCCCCCCGACCTCACCTGCAGCCCAGGTAGAGGGTGACAGCGCTGCCAAGGGCCCGGCGGTGAGCAGAGGACCAGAGCCTGCTGGGGCCAGCTTCTGTACTGGCTGTGTGCACATTTCACCCAGGGACATCCCTGGGCTTCCCAGGTGGCGCTCTGGTAGAGAACCCGCCTCCCAGTGCAGGAGACATAAAAGACACAGGTTCCATCCCCGGGTCAGGAAAATCCCCTGGAGGAGGGTATGGCAACCCACTCCAGTATTCCTACCTGGAGAATCCCACGGACAGAGGAGCCTGGTGGGCTGTGGTCCATGGGGTCGCAGAGTCGGACACGACTGAGCAGCCGAGCACAGCACAGCACAGTGACCTCCTGGTGGTCCAGTGGTCCAGACTTCACCTTCCAGTGCGGGGAGTGTGGGTTTGATCCCCGGTTGGGAGCTAAAACCCCCCAAAACGAAACATCATAAAAAACATACAGCATCACCAAAAAACAGAAGCAGTATTGTAGCAAAATCAACAAAGATTTTTAAAATTATCCCTATCAGAAAAAAAAATTCACAAACTTGTAGTATCATCCCACTTTAAAGCTATCCAGTGAATCAGGCGTGTAAAATGCACGCCCATTTTACAGACTCCAAAAGAGGCTCAGGGAGATGGACTGACTGGCCAGGGTTCCTTAGCAAGGGCAGGGCCAAGACGTACACCGAGGTGTGTTTTGTCCCCCAGATCCCTGCCAGTCCGTTATACCAAAGGCCAGGTGGCAGAGGAGCTGCACTGTGATGTCAGGCCACGTCCTAGTCTTTCCACTTTCCCAGCTCCATGACTTTGGACCAGTCACTCACCTCTCTGAGCCTCCATCAGCTCCCTTATAAAGTGGGGGGTGCCCATCCCATGGGGCTGTCTGAAGATTCAACAAGTTAATTCCTGGGAGGCACCGAGGACAGGACCTGGCACCCAGCAAGTGCCCAGCCTTGGTATCACTGCTGTGCTGAGGCGAGAGGGGCTGAGTGAAGTGGTGGGTGAGGGCAGGGGAGAGGGCCACGGGAACCCCGGAAGCTTGGGAGCACGGTGAACCGAGAAACTGAGCATGCACACCGCTCCAAAGCTGGAGTAGAAGGGGAGCTCTTTCTAAGCCTCACGCTTAATTAAGCAGGCTCCCAGAGAGGACCAAGGGCCTCCCAGGTGGCGCTAGTGGTTAAAAAACCCTCCTACCAAAGCAAGAGACTTAAGAGAGGCGGGTTCTATAGGGTACGTGGGGTCACAAAGAGTCGGACATGACTGAAGCGACTTAGCACACACATTACTGGGGTTGGGGTCTTCCCCAGTGGTTCAGCGGTAAAGAATTCACCTGCAATGCAGGAGCCACAGGAGATGTGGGTTCAACCCCTGGGTTGAGAAGATCCCCTGAAGGGGAGCACAGCAACCCACTCCAGTGTTCTTGCCTGGAGAATCCCATGGACAGAGGAACCTGGCGGGCTACAGTCTCTGGGGCTGCAAAGAGTTGGACAAGACTAAAGCGATTTAGCACATGCACACCAGAGAGAACCAGGAGTCTGGGCTTTGGGAGGAAGAACCAGCTTAGAAGGGACACGAAAAAGCTGGGACACCCCCCACACACCTTACCCAGTTACCCAGTCGCCCAAATTGACAGGCCACTCACCCTCACTAGAAACTGGGATGAAATGAACACTAATGGGGCCGGGGGGTGGGGGGAGTACCACCAAGAGCTGTTGGCACTCAGCCAGCACAGAAGAACAGATTAGGAAGCCAGGGCACACAGGAGGGAGGGGGGAAGAAATCGGGCCGTCAGATGAAAAGGCTACGGCACTCGCCAGATAAGAGGCTTGGTTTGGAACGTGTTCAGGACCTTAAACTCTACCAGCTGGAATTCTTTCCAAGTACCATGCCACTCGCTGCCCTCCTGAACATGGAAATTTGCATTTCGTCGTGAATATGGAACACGGAGTCATGAGTTAAATGATTCCCAAGAAGCGGCTTCCTCTGGCTCTGTGGGCTGCGTTTGGAGCAGAGAGGCCCCAAGGCCCCGAGCCTGGAGGTAAGTGCATTAGCAGACAGGGCTCGGGCCCTCTCCTCGCCGCATCCCCACTCACAGGGAACTTGGACATCTTGGCGAAGCAGAATTCCTAAGGAGGGAAGACAGGAGAGAAAGGGCCATTAAACACCAAGCAGCATGGATCATTGTAACAAAGGGGGCAGATTCTGGGGTGCACGCTGGTGGGGCCAGGCCAGAGGGGTCTCATCAGAGTCAGGCCAGTGTGCAGGGTGGGGACGGGGTGGCACAGAGCAGGGATGGCTGTTGGTCCCGGGCGGCCGGCCGACTTGGCATCTAGATTGGCTCTGCCTGTCGCAGACTGTGTGGTCTCCCTTGGATTTTTTGATCCTTGGATTCCTTATTTGTAAAATGGAATTATGACTACGTACCTCCCAAGGCCATTACAGAAATCCAGTGAGCTAACATTCATAAATCCCCTCGCACACGGGGCCCGACACCCTGGCAGAACAGAGAGGCCACCAGACACGACCCTCATCCTGCCTTTGCTATTGTGTTGTCCCTTGATTGATTGGGTTCCATGATCACGGGTGCTGGGGGATGCGACCAAGACCAGACACACTACCTGTACGAGATGGGTCCCTAACCCAGCAGTTCGTAACCAGTGGCCAGGCTGTACTGGGCTTCCCTCAAGGCTCCGACAGTAAAGAATCTGCCTGAAACGCAAGAGACCAGGGTTCCATCCCTGGGTCAGGAAGATCCCCCGGAGAAGGGACCGGCTGGCCACTCTAATAGTCTTGCCTGGAAAATTCCATGGACAGAAGAGCCTGTCGGGCTACAGTCCGTGGGGCCACAGAGCTGACTGAGTAACTAACACTTTCATTTTTTTCTTTTTTTCAGCCATGTCTCACTATATGTTCATCCTTCAGTCATGTCTGACTCTTCGTGACCCCGTGTACTATAGCCCACCAGGCTATTTTAAAAAATGATCTCAGAAGGATGGGCTTAATTAAGAAACTGTGCCGGCCAGCAGGTGTGCAAGGCATGATGTGTGGGAGCAGGCAAGCCCCTCTGTCCCACTCCAGCCTCACCCAGAGTCGTGCTGCGAAGCCTCATGAATTCTTCTGCACTTGAACTCACTTCTGTCCCCATCGTCCCTCCCTCCCACAGAAATCAGAGCCCCCCTCAGGCCACCCTCTGGAGCCAAAGCGAAGGAGTGTGGCCAAGCAGATCTGCCTGGGGAAGAACACGCTCGAATCGTCTGCTAGAAACGGGCCGGGGCCTGGGTCTCAGGTGCACTCCAGGCTCCTCTTGCGCACAAGCCCAGTGTCAGCATCGGCTGTCTCTGGGGCTGGGGTGCTTTATGAACATGGGTGAGCTGGCTCGGGCTGAGGGGGACCCCCTGAAGGCAGGACTTGCAAGGGATTAAGACGATTGGAAGTTGGTAGAGAAGCAGTCCGCAGCTTGTCAGAAAGGAACCAGCAAGAGAGTTTGGTCGACTGGACCAGTCCCACCCGGCCCAGGGCCAAGCCTCAGCTCAGAGTGGGGACTACACCTTGGGTTTGGTGGGCCCGGATGGCACCCGGGCAGAGAGAAGAGCCCAGGCTCCGGGACCAGACCCGGCCCAGGGTCCCAGCCCTGTGTGATAGGCGACCTGTGCTGGTTCTCAGCCTCGGCGCTCTCACCCGTCAGGAAGATGACTGCGTGTCCTCTGCAGACGAAATGCCGACCTCTGCACCTGCCCTGAACTCACAGTTGCTGTGACCGTTTTCACAAGAGCCCTAGAAAGCAGAGGCCGTCACTCTGGTTTCCAGGTAAACACCATGCCACTCGTCTGCCCCTCCCTTGAGGGTCCCCAAAGCGGGGGTGGTGGCAAGCCAAGGTTCTTGTTGCTCTGGGGGTGGCAGGGAATGTGGCCAGACCCTCACCTGCAGGCTGGGTGGGTAGGGGGACGTCGATGGACCCTGGAGAGAAAGAGGAGGGCAAAGCGAGTCCCCAGATCTGAAGTCTGAGAGCCTCGGGGTCAAAGGCACCTGTGGATCCTCAGCAGGGTCACCACTGTCCAGGGGCGGTCATCAGCACCCCCTCTCAGCTGGGGGGTGGCCTTGTTGCAGCTGCGGGTGCAGACCCCACTCCCAAACGCAGGGAGCCCGGAGCCCCCCACCTTGCCCCGGCCAGGGCCACCTGCTGACTGTTTAATGCAAGGTCACGAAGGAGCCCCGTCCAACTGCTCCCTTCCTGAGGCTCAGGTGACTGGACTCTTGGGCTCCATCAGACGGGCCTGGCGAGTAGGCACCCCTCAAGTCAAGGCCGGGGGGGCCTGGACCCCCAGGGTCAATGCCAAGGCCTGCAGGACAGAGCAGCCCCGACATCTGCCTCCTTGAGTTGATGCATCCTTCCCGGGTGGGAGGAGGTGGGCGGTAAATGCCTCCAGAAAGTGCCCAGGCCCCTCCCTCTGGGGGGGGGGCAACCTTCCCTTCTCTCTCGTCTGCACAGACCCTGGTAGGCGTGCCCCCCAGCACGTCTGATCGGGGACACTTCATTTAGTCTACACGGATTCAGTGAGGCCCTAAGACGTGTCCGGGACTGGGCTCTCTGTTGGGGACACAGCAGGGATCCCAGGCCACCACCCGGGACAGATCACAGAGGGTGGAACTGCAAGGAGGAGATGAGAACCGCCGGGGGAACGGCCCAGCACCAGTCCTCACATTGCTTGCCTTATTCTCTGGCCTTGAGCCAGCACATGCTGGCCCTGAGCCCCCATCTCTAGTCCTGGGGAAGGACCCGGACAGGGTCACAGGGCCGTCAGGAGAATAAGACAGTACCCTGCAGAGAAGTCCCTGGACGGGGCAGGGACCAGCTCTGCCTTTAGAGGCAGGAGAAGCTGGAACGGAATCTGAGCTCCTCCGATTCTCTGTGTGATCGCGGGTGAGTCACTCCAAGTCTCTGCACCTCAGGATCTCCAGCTGGAAGATGGGGATAAATCCGACCTCATGGCAATTTCATGAGGACTCAAGGATAAAGCGCAATAAAGCAACAAGGCCCACAGTCTGGCACCGGTAACCGACCCTCTGTAGATGGGAGCGTCTGCCCGCCTGCCTAACGCTCAGGCTGCTTCCTTCACTCATGAGTCAAAGCCAGGACCAGCTCAGGTCTCCCAAACACACATGACAGCCAGATGCTTTCCAGGGGCCAATATTTTCCCAGGCCCCTGCAGGGCTGGAGTCCATTTGATAATTTATGAGGTAGGGATAGAATCTTTATAATTATAGCTTCTCTCAACTATAAAATCAAGACATATTTATTAATTAAGCCCAAACAAAACTACAAGGCCAATAAAACACACAGGGATAGCATTAATTTAAGCAATGGGTGATGTTTCGCAGACGCTAAATGGGCCTTCCCCATGCGACGGAGGTCGAGGTGGGGCCGCCTGGGCCAAGGTCTTGCCATGTCCACTGCCTATCATCCGCCCTCCTGCCTTTGGCTCTGCAGACCCTAGGAAGGCTGTCGTGGTCATGAGTCCCCTCGACCACCAGAGAACCAGCATGGATCCCTCAGCTCCATACACCCCTCAAGTCCCAAGTTCTTTTCTCCCTCCTGCCCTTCCTAATGACTGGAAAGATGTTCATCGAAATGAAAACATAAAGAAATTTAAATTCTTCTAGAACTCTCAAGGCCTCCCCGGAGGCTCAGCGGTAAAAATCCACCTGCAATGCAGGAGCCGCGGGTTTGATCCCGCGGGTTTGATCTTCCTGGGTTGGGAAGATCCCCTGGAGGCAGGCATGGCAACCCACTCTGGTGTTCTTGCCTGGAGAATCCCATGGACAGAGGAGCCTGGCAGGTTACAGTCCATAGGGTTGCAAAGAGTCGGACACGACTGAAGTGACTTAGCACGCAGAGATCTCAGAAGACTACCCTCCGCTCCCTGTATCTGTAGGCCCCAAATTCGGGAAACCCTGAATTAGGACCCATCAGGACAGGAATTGGCTGATCTGATTCCCATCTATGTCCACTGTCCTAGCAGGACTCAGGGAGTGAAGGGGCGTGGGCTCTGTGCAGAGGATAGAGCGCCCAGGACAGGGTTAGAGGAAGAGGCTGGGAGGCCCCAGGTGGGGGGCCAAGGGCCACAGGGGCCCAGAGTGGTGGGGGAAGAGGTGGCCCCCAAAGGAGACAAGGAGGCCCACGGAGCCTTCATCTCCAGCCTCCCCCGGGGCAGGGAGGGCAGAGAGTGGGCTGGACCTCAGGACAGGTCACCAGACCCAGGCCAACTTGGTGGTGGCTCACCCTGCAAGGATGCTTGGCCCGGCCGGGTATTGCTTCCCATAAAACGGGCAACCCTGGTCCTGCAGAGGTTAACACTGGGCTCAGGTTATGGCAATCGGGGAGCAACCTGATCTGAAGTTATGTAGTCTCACCAGCACCCAAACTCTCAGTCCGGCTGCTTTGAGGACCCTGGGTCTCCTCCCCACTCTGCAGGCCCTCCCCACGGAGCTCCCCTCCCTGCTGCGGCCACTACCCGAGACCTCAACGCCTCTGCACCCTCCTGCCTGGCACAGCAAGCCTAGGCCCAGGACCTGGGTGTCTCCCTCCTGGGCTAAGGCAGCCAGGGGACTGTGAACCCATATACATGCCCAGCATAGCCAGTCCAAGAGCTATGATGAGAGGATGTCTAGCAAATTGCCAGTACTTAATACTTCTCCCCTTGGTGGCCAAGATGGTAAAGAATCTGCTGGCAATGGGAGAGACCCGGGTTTGATACCTTGGTCTGGAAGATCCCCTGGAGGAGGGCATGGCAATCCACTCCAGTAGTTTTGCCTGGAGAATCCCACGGACAGAGGAGCCTGGGGCTGCAAAGAGTTGGACATGCCTAAGCAACTAAAGCAGCTTACCAATCTTTCCCCCAGGTCTCTATTGCCTCATCACCCTTCCAGTTATTTCCCTGGATCTTCCTAAAAAATCCAGCAAATGAAGAGCTAATGCCCGGCAGGCCAGGCAGCCTTGGGGAAGTTGTTCCACTGCCCAGAACTGGCTTCTGTCTGCCTTAAATGTCCCCCTGGTCCAGGCAGCCTGCCGACTGGGACATGAACTCTGGCCTGAGCCCCCAGCCCACTTACCCTCCAGGGAAGGGGGCACCCCACGCCTCCTCTCCCGGGGCTCCCTCTCTGGGCACCACACAAGAAAGAGCTCTAAGCCTCACACCCACAGGGCCCTCGTGGAATTAGGGCTCAGGGCTGGAGGCGAAGGAGACCTGGGCCCCGCTGGGAGCCCTACTTCTCAGCAGGTGAGGTGGTGTGACAACTTGGGGGCAACAGATTACCCCGGGGTCTCTGCTGGTGTCTGTGGGCACAGGGAAGGGACAGAAGGAACGGAAGAGCAGGTCAGAGAAGGCTGTGGAGGAAACCAAGCTCCAACTGCATTTTGGGGGGAGAAATAGGATTCGTCAGGGACCAGGAGGTGAGTGATGTGAAAGCCGCTCAGTCGCATCTGACTCTTTGCCACCCCCTGGACCATACCGTTGATGGGATTATTCAGGCCAGAATCTTGGAGTGGGTAGCCCGTTCCCTTCTCCAGGGGATCTTCCCAACCCAGGTCTCCCGGATAGCAGGCAGATTCTTTACCATCTGAGCCACAAGCGAGGCAGGGGCAAACAGGGGCTGGAAGCCAATCTGCTGGTATCTGAGGCTGCAGGGGCAAAGGTCTGGGCTGGCTGCAGCCGGTGGGGGGGGGGGACTCAGGAGCGGAAGATGAGCCAGAGCTGGTCAGGTCGTGCAGGGCCTCGGAACCCACTGAGCGAGCTTAGAGCTAAGGCGAGGGTCACAGGGAGCCGCAGAGCGATGCCTGGGCCTCGGGGCTCAGGGCGGCGCCGCCCGCCGCCGCGTGGGGCTGGGAGGGAGGAGAGGCTGGCCCTGGCGGAGCCCGTGCGTCCCCGCAGGGTGGCGGGAGGTGGGCATCGAGCGGGGCCGCCGGACCGCCCCGGGGGCGGAGAGCCTGCGCGGCTGGCTGAAGCCCGCCCGATGGGCCGCGGCGGGGCACTGCCGGTTGGGGTGTGGGCGGCGAGGTCCCTGCAGCCGGTACCTTCCTTCTCCCCCCCGCCACGCCACACGCCCGCGGGGACAGGGCGCCTCCAGGTCTCTGGCTCGGGTGCGGGCTCACAGCCCCCGGGACCGACCCTCGCCTCAACACGGGATGTTCATTCCCGGGGCGGCGCTGCCGGCCGTTTCTAGTGGGAATCTGCTGCCCTCTGCAGGACGGTTCTAGAACCGCGTCACTAGTACCTTCCAGCAGAGACGGGGGCTGATCCCCAAAGCCAAGGCGGACCCCACCTAGCTGGCGCGGCAGGAGAGGTCTCCAGGCGCGGTTCCCCGCAGCCTCAGCTCAGTTCGGTCCCTCAGTCGTGTCCGTCTCTTTGCGACCCCCATGGACTGCAGCACGCCAGGCCTCCCTGTCCATCACCAACTCCCGGAGTTTACTCAAACTCATGTCCATCGAGTCGGTGATGCCATCCAACCATCTCATCCTCTGTGGTCCCCTTCTCCTCCTGCCCTCAATCTTTCCCAGCATTAGGGTCTTTTCAAATGAGTCAGCTCTTCACATCAGGTGGCCAAAATATTGGAGTTTCAGCTTCAGCATCAGTCCTTCCAGTGAATATTCAGGACTGACTTCCTTCAGGATGGACTGGTTGGATCTCCTTGCATCCAAGGGACCCTTGCACCTCAGGATATGCCAACATGCCCCTTGATAATATTGACAGATACCAAGGGACCCCGCAGGGACGTCACGCAGGTCACCACAGCCCGGCCGGAGGCTCTCATATAGTTTGTGTTTGAGGTTTGGAGAGGTGGCAAACTGACCCAAGAACGCCTGCTGGTTCAAAGCCAAGTGTGCCCACCTCCCAGACCCATGCCTCCCTGGCCTCGCGCCGTCTCGGGCCCCCGTCCCTCTCTCCCTGGCGTGTATGTGACATCTCGTCCTCCTGTTGGGTGCTTGTCCAGGGCCTGCCCCCCGCCCCCCAATCCCCAACTGGGAAATTGGCTGAAAGAAGGCGGGGTCACACCTTACTGTGTGTCCACAGCGCCTAGCACAGAGCCCGTTCAGGGGAGAACCTCGCTCCCACGATTTCGTCCCAGCTCTGTCTCCTCCACCGGACTGGGAGCCTTGAAGGAGCCGGTCTCTGTCTCCGTGTGTATATGGCTCCAGTCCCCAGTGGCCTTCCTCCTGTGTTTAATCTCATCCAGAGCAGGTTTTGTAGAGGCCCCCCTTGCAGGGCTTTCAGGACGGGGAGCTCCCATTGTCAGGTCGGCTCCAGGGCGAGGGCTGTTACGTTCTAGGTCCCCCCAACCTTCCCCCCTAGACCCACGCCGCCTCCAGCCGAGAACTGATGGATGCTGACTGCTCCGGGTGGTCCTTGGGGCTTGCAAACCTCTCTCTTCTCCATGGCTGGAGTTCTCACTTACAAACCACCCTTAACCCTAGGAGCTGTCTGCTTCCTGTGCAAATGAAGGTGGAAAGGCCACCTGTCTTACAGCACGCCGACAGGGGCCGAAGGGACAAGGGCTGGCCGCCCTGCCCGCCCCCAAAGCACCCCTGCCCCCCAAGGCCATCTCAGTGCATGGGGTCAGTGGGGACCCTGCTTCGGTAACAGTTCCCTCTTGGGTCACCAAAGAAATTCAGAGAAAGGTGTGGACCCTCTGTGGGGCAGTTCTGGCCCCAAGAAGTAGCTGCCTTTCTGCCTGTTTTGGAGGTCAGAAGTCTGTAGGTTAGGGACTTGCCTGTATTCCACACGAAGTCCTGTCACGGGGCACAAAACTGACCAGGGGTCCCCAAGACTCAGCCCAGGGCAGGACCCCACCAGCAGCGGGGGCGGCCCCACAGGCCCAGGTTTTTGCAGATGTCTATCCAGATGAGCCGTATCTTCTTCCCACTTCACAAAGCAGAGCAAATGCCGGCTAGGAGGTGAGCCCAGTGGTTTTCCAACCTCAAAACCTGATGGGAGAACCACCTCAGGCAAAGCTGGTCCTGCTCCTTTAAGAGCCACAGGTTGGAACCCGGAGCCGCAGGTCTGGCAAACTGTGGGGCCTTGTGTTTCAGTAAGTGACCTTTCTGTTGGCGCTAATTGAGGAGGACTTGCCCGGATGCCAGAGGTGCGGGGGCCCTGCCAGGGAGCAGGGAGGGGCCTGAGCCTGCTCCTTCCAGTAAAAGGCAGGGGTTTTTGGCAGCGGTCAGTTTAGAAGCCTGGCTGCTATTGTAAATCATAAGCTGATTACTGCACTTGTTCTTAAAGTTTCCGATAGCAGTTCCAGGCGAGCTGTGAGTTGCAACACAATTGAGAGTTAAGTTTATGGTCAGGAAGAACCCTGAGCTCTTCCTCGAATCTGACTCCCACTCCTGACGCTGGAACCCCAACGCAGCCGGGTGAGGAGGCCCTCCTGCAGCAGTGTCCTAGGCGAGCGCCACAGGAGAGTTCACCCCCAGGCTCTGAGCGGACACACGGGCCTATTTGGCGTTGAGAATTAATGGAAGACCTTTGCGAGGGCTGCAATGTGGTTTCAAAGTCACCAAGTGCTGGTGAAACCCCTGGGGTCTGGCAGGCCTCTCCGCCTGCTGTGCAGACGGCTCTCCACTGCCGTGCCACCCTCCCTCCGTCTGGGCCTTGCAGGAGCTGGGCCGGCCCCTGCGCCAAATCGCTCGAGTTAACATTTGTGTCAGTGTTTCCATTATAAAGAGCTCTTTCCGCCTTCAAGAATATACAGCCCAACTGTAAAATTACCCTTGAGGCTGCAGGCTGGCTCAGACCCAGCAGTCTGGCTTCCTCCAGGGGGCTGCAGGGACCCCGGGGGATGGTCCCCGCCCAGAGTGACCCACCTGGGACCCGGGGGCGGCTGCTTCACACAGACCCTGGTGAGCGCAGGGAGGGGACGAGGACAGCAGGTGCTGGCCGGGGACGGTCAGCCTCTGCTACTTGGAGAAAAGTCTAGAACCTGCGGTGTTAGGTCCTGGACCCAACGACACAACAGGGGCCCGAGTAGGGGAAAAGCTCCATTTCATAAGCTGCCCAAGAATCCCAATGACCCAGCCACCGGAGGGAGATGAGGAGGTGAGTGTGGTCATGGGTCACACCAATGCAATGCAACGTGTTCGCCTGATTCTAAAAATCCTCAGTAACACTTTTTAATATACAAGAGTCAAAAGTACAGCAGTTTTACAATGTAGGAAAATTTAATACATACTATATAAACAACATTATTTACATCAGAAATCACTAGGACAGTGGCATTTTTCACAAATATAAATTAATTACTGTTTAGTCAACAGATTTTAAAAGTCCACAATTTTACAATAAAGAAAGCTCATCCGTGCCCAACCAAGTGGGGCACAGATGGACTAAAGCAGGCTGGGCCCCTGGCCTGGCTCTCCTCACCGACACGGCCGCCCCAGACGAGCCGGGGCCCACCGCTCCTGCTGACGAGTGGGTTTTGGTCTGTAGGATTCCCGTGTCGCTGTGTGAATTCCTAACTGGGTTGCATTTGCACCGCGCGCCCTGATGCGGCCCTCAGGTATCGGGTTAGAATGTCTGCAGCACGACGTGAGAGGTGTCCTGGGTTCCCGTCGGAGGGTGTAAGGAGGGAATGGCTGAAAGGAGGGGGAGCCCGGGGCAGCGGCCGATGGGGAGACAAGCCTGGGGTGACCGCGTCCTCGGCGGGACCTCGTGCTCCTGTTTAGGTTCTCGGTGGCGCTAACTCTCCTCTTCCTCGGCCCTTGCTCTTTCTATCTAGTAACTACATCCTTCAGAGCCACGGAAAACCATCCTCAGAGACTCCGGGGGTGGCTTCTCCCATCCACGAGTGAGAGAATTCCTATCTGTGCAAATTTCTTGTTTCAACAGAAGCATACAGTATTCATACTGACTGACAATGAGGAAATGCTTTCTCTCTCCCAACCCACTCTGCAAACACACTCCAGCACCTAAGACAGATGCTTTTATGAGGATACTGTACTTTCTGTAATCAACTTAACACTGATCTGGCTGATACTGCCTTTTGCTGCAGCATATGGCACTAGAAGTCCTGAATGTGAACAAAAGGAAGCTCCTTTTGCCTCATGATGAGACCTCTTTGGGAATAACTCACATCTCCTATCAACAACTTCAGAGGAAAAAAACCCAAAAACCGTGAACTCTGAAATGCAGGCCCTGCCGGTCCTCCCCCTGGCCCCTCTAACTGACAGGACCACGACCCGCCCTCCTACAGAGGAAGCCGCGCTGGGGCCTCTCTGCAGACCGCCACAGCCCAGCAATGGCTCAGGGACCCACAGCCGGCCCGTCCCTCCTCTCCGGCAGGGCAAGACCAGCAGAGGCCGTGTCAGTACTGCGGCAGGGACCCCAACCTGAGCAGAGGCAGTTTCCTGTCCCCCCAAGCCGTCAGGCATGGCCCAGCGGGTGACCGCTGCTGGGGCTCCCTGCAGTCCCCCGGGCTGTGCTCCCGGCATGCGCGCTACAAGCCCAGGGTGAACGACTCCAAATACCAGGAGGTGCTGAGCCCACGGAACTCCCCGCACCAAATGTGCGGACCTTGCCTCCCACGAGGACCTCGGCACAGGCCAGCCGAAGACACTCTGCAGAGCACAGAGCGAGAGCCCCCCAGAGCCGCCCCTGCCTCACCGTATGAGGCAACAGTAAAGGTATGAGCGGTGTGATTCCTGGAGTCCCCTGGAGAGGGGCAGTTAGTGTGGGGAGCGTAACCCTGTGGACACCCAGGGAAGGGTTTCCACCAGCTCTGAGCCTGCAAACCCACAGGCTCACTGCACGTTCAAGTCAGTTATTCTGTCTCCGTCTAGAAAGGCCTTTGCATACTCTAACAATACTGGCAAATTATCTTTAAGGTGAACAGAACAGTAGGCCCCGGAACCAGGAAAGGGAAAGGAGCCTGCTAATTACTGCAGCCAACCTCAACCTGTCCTCAGCTCTAGTCCAGCTCTTCCTATCTGCAGCTCAGTCACCCTGTCCTTGAAGGCTTCCAGATCTGGGGGAAAAAAATGAACTTAGGTTTAGAGTTAGCTTGATCTCGTTCTAAAAGATACCGAGTTCAGTTCTAATGGTCTCCAACTAGCAGTGGCACCATGTTCACCACAGGGAGCAACTAATTTGTATCTGGCCACCCACCACGCAGTGGCAGGAGATGTGTGATTCCATGACTCCTCCCTCCTCAGGTTGTGCAAAGATGAGCTGCAGATGGTCACCCACCGCCACACGGACCACACCACCAACCCCCCAGCCCCCCACCAGTGCCCTGCTCCGGTGCCGCCAGCACCCAGCCAGGCGCAAGCCTGCTCCCACCCCCTTCTCTCCGCCATCACTCACTGTGGGAGCCGGAATCCACCCAGGATCCCCGAGCCCTGGCCACGCCCCCCGCCCCCACCCTCAAGGCCGCTCCCAGGCAAACCAGCCCCGCCCAGTACAGCACTGAACCAAGACCTTCCCCTGGCAGGGGATTGGGGGGGGGGGGGGGATGGGATGGTAGGGAAATGGGGGATGGGGGATGGGGGGGATGGGGTAAAGGAGGCCCACGCAGGAGACCACACGTCTGAGACACACAGTGTGGGGCAATTTAGTGTTGCTGGGGAAGAGGCCGTGGAGGAGGTGGCCCCTGCCCCCCACCCCGGCCATCAAACAGTGAGGCTCAAGTGTCACTTCCCCCAAGGACACTTCTGAGGGGGTACCTGCTCCCCTGCAAGTCCTGTGGTGCAAGACCCCACCCGCGCATCCCCTCGCCTGTCAGCAGCATCCGTCTCATCAGAGTGCACCAGACCCCGTGTGTCCAGCGGGTCCCAGCAGCCTTCATGCACACGTGCCCTCCCCCGACCCCACACTGAGGTCCAGGGAGACAAAACATTCACGACTCTAAGACCTCTCCTGCCTTCACTGGGAAACAGCCCGTGAAGCTGGTAGACAAAAGCATCACCGCTTCCTCCCGGCACCCATCCAAGTGGGAGGCCAGGACCAGGCCGGAATGCGATGGGTGCCCAAGTGCAGGAGGGGGTGACCCAGATCAAAGCCGGGCTGAGCCAGAGGCCCCCACGCTCTGAGTGCCCCTCAGCGGCAGGCTGACGGCAGCCCTGCGTCCAGAAACGCCCTCTTGGGTCTGGGTAACCGGCTCCTGCGGACCAGACCAAAGACGTCCAGGTGCTTCGTGACGCTCGCGCTCCCCTGCTTTCCAAGCGGCCCTTTATGTTTTCCTAACATTCCAGTTATAATCTGGGTTGTTCTTCTGTTCTAGTGATCTCTCCAAAGGAGACCGATGATCCAGGGGTGACTTGGAATCGTGAGGAGATTTCTGAGAAGGGGGAGAGCGAGGATCTGAGACTGCGGGGTGCAGTGGGGGTAGGGGCTGTTTATACTCCCCCAGTTTGTCTGTGTGGAAAGAGCGGTGGTGGTCCGAGGGCCCCTGGCCGTGGTAGCCCATAGGGGGGCGGTGATCAGACATTCGTCGGAAATCCTGCTGGTGGTAATTTTGAGGCCTAAATTCATCCGATCGCCTCCGCTTGGAGTCATGATGGTGCCTGAAATAGAGACAGGAGAATCAGCTAAAGACCAAGGCTGGATTCCCACGCCTCCTCCATCATCCACTGGCTCTTCCTCACGCTGGAGGACACTTCCAGGGACTCAGAGCAAATACTTACATTACTAGAACTCAAAAAAAAAAACACCCAAAACCAAAAGCAAACTAAAGTAGTAACAAAGGGCTATTTTATACTTATTGGCAAAACGCAGCCCATGAAATGACATGAGCCTCATTAAGTCTGCAATGAAACAAGCACAAACTTGACTCACTGATGGCTCTGTAAACTCACATTCCCTTCATGAAAACTGGCAAGATCTACAATTCATGCTCCTCAACCCAGCCCAGGAAAAAAAAGAGCCACAGAAAATTATTTTCTAAGTTATTAGTAACAGCAAAAAACTCAAGCAACCTAGATATTCAACAATAAGTGCAGGGTTAATTACTTTCAAACAGACTCAATGTGAAGAATATTAAAATTTTTAGTTGGGACGATGGCAAACTGCTTGTTATACTGTTAACGGAGAAGCTGTAAAAGTCGACAACAATCCCCAGCTCAAGAACGGGCAAAGGACTTGAATAGACATTTCTCCAAAGGAGATACACAAACAGCTCCAAAGCACATGAAAAGATGCTCAACATCTTTAATGAGCATTAATCACTAGGTAAATGCAAGTCAAAACTACCATTAGGATGGCTACATTCAAAACACTGAGAATAAACATTGGTGAAAATGTGGCAAAATTGCAATTCTCATACATAGTTGGTTGGGACTGTAAAATAGCTCAGCTCTAGTGGAAAACAGTTTGGTGGTTCCTTAAAAGTTAAATGCAGAACTACCAAATGACTAACAACTCCAATCCTAGGTAAATAACCCCAAAGCACTGAGACAGACATTCAAACAAACACTCACATACCATGCTCACAGGAGCACTATTCACAATAGCCAAAAGGCAGAAAAACACAAACGCCTATTAATGAATGGAGGGATAAACAAAATGCAGCATGTATGAGGTTGGTGCAAAAGTGACTGGTTTTGCACTGCTGAACTTTGCCATTTGATATTGGAATACATTCTTAAATAAATGTGTTTATGTTATACATCATTTTAATGAGCATTTCTCACTTCACTTTTTTTTGCTAATGACATATTACTTGCTGTTTATGTTTATTTTAGACTACAAAAATGATGTTAAGACAAAAAAGCAAATTCGAGTGGTTTTCTTAATGAGTTCAAAATGGGTGGTAAAGCAGCAGAGACAACTCAAATCAACAACACATTTGGCCCAGAAACTGCTAATGAATGTACAATGCAGTGGTGGTTCAAGAAGTTTTACAAGGGAGTTGACAGCCTCAAAGACGAGGAGTGCAGTGGCCGGCCACTAGAAGTTGATGTCAGCCAACTGAAAGCAATCACTGAGATGATCCTCTTGTAACTACACAAGAAGCTGCAAAAGAGCTCAACGTCGACCATTCTGTGGCTATTTGAAGCAAACTGGAAAGGTGAAAAGGCTAAGTTGGTGCCTGATTAGCTGACCACAATTCAAGACAATCATCATTTTTCTATAAAACATTGATCCATTTCTCAGAACGTGACATGTGATGAAAAGTGGATTTTACCCGACAACCAGCGACGACCAGCTCAGGGGTTGGACTGAGAAGGTGCTCCAAAGCGCTTCCCAAAGCCAAACAAACCCGCACCAAAAAAGGTCACGGTCACTGTTGGGCGATCCGCTGCCTGTCTGATCCACTAGAGCCTTCTGAATCCCAGCGAAACCATTACATCTGAGAAGTATGCTTGGCAAGTCAATGAGATGTACCAAAAACTGCTACACCTGCAGCTGGTATTGGTCAACAGAAAAATGAGCCCAGTTCTTCCCTGCAACAACATCTGACCACAGGTCACACAACCAACACTTCAAAAGCTGAATGAATGAACCAGGAAATGTTGCCTCATCTGCCATATTCACCTGACCTCTCACCAACTGAGTACTAAACTCCCTCAAGCATCTCGAAAACTTTTTGTAGGCAAAATGCTTCCACAATTAGCAGGAGGCAGAAAATGCCTTCCAAGAGTTCACTGAATCCCAAAGCATGGATTTTTATGCTACAGGAATAAACAAACTTATATCTCATTGGAAAAAATGTGTTGATTGTAATGGTTCCTATTTTAATAAAGATGTGTTTGAACCTAGTTATAATGATTTAAAATTCATGGTCCGAAACCACAATTACTTTTGTATCAACCTAACATATACATTGGAATGTTATTCACCTGTGAGAAGAACTGGAGTACTGATACATGATGGTACAATGTGAATCAATCTCTAAAACATCATGTTAAACATCTGAAAATGCCAAACGTAAAAGGCCACATACTGTATGATTCCATTTATGCAAACTGTCCAGACTAAGCAAGTCCACAGAAATGGAACACAGAAGGCTGGTGGTTGCCAGGAGCTAGGCAGAGAAAAGAAAGGAGTGGGTACGCAGTGGTCAGAATTTTCTTTAAGGGGATGAACATGTTTTGGAACTTGACAGAGGCGGTGGTTATACAACACAGTGAATGCACTAAATAAATGTCCTGAATTGTTCACTTTAAAATAATTAATTTATGTTATGTGAGTTTCACCTGAATGAAAAAAGGAGGAGGGGAGAGGATGGGAGGGAGGGAAAGAAGAGACTGACTGTCCAGGTTCCAGCCAAGATGGAGTAACAGGGACTATATCTACTGCTGAAACAGCCAGAAAGGGACAAAATGTGTGGACAACAGTTATCAAGACACCAGATGTCAGGAAAGAACAGCAATTCCTATGGGATGAGGAACCAATGAGGTGAGTCTTACAAGCACCCGGCTCAGCAGAAGCCCAGACTTCCTGAGATGGGGCGGGGGCATCAACACAGCTGGAGTTCAAGTGTAGAGTGCAAGAGAAGAAAGTTGCAGAGAACGGAGCTCAAAGCTCAGCAAAGGTGTTCCGTCGAGTACCTAGTGGGATGCAGCTCAGGCTCACTACCCAGGGGCCAGGGGAACAACAGAGAAGGACAAGAGACGCGGGCGCCCTGTGCTCACGCAGGGCTGGAGCAGCCTGCTCCCTTCTCACCGACCAGACTGGCGAACCTCCCGCTCCAAGGGCTCGGGTCGAATGCCGTGAGGGGCCTCTCCTCAGCACTGCTCCAGTTCTGCCTAACAAGTCTCAGCAGCAAGATCGTAAAGAATCAAACTGCTCCCAAGTAACTAAACCCTGCTTCTGGACGAAACTCCAGAACATTCATAGGAAGACAAAAATATCCCGCACTTAACTAGGTATCCAATCAAAAATTATCAGGCATAGAGAAATAAAAGCAAAAATAAGCAAATCGGACCTCATCAAACTTAAAAGTTCCTGGTTAGCAAAGAAAACCATAAACAAAACAAAAATCAACCTATGGAATGGGAGAAAATATCAGCAGACAATGCCACCAACAAGGATATAATCTCCAAATTATACCAACAGCTCATACACCCTAGTAACAAAAAACAAACTGTGGAAAGATGGACAGAGGGACTTCCCTGGGGGTCCAGTAATTAAGATTTCATGTTCCGATGCAGGTGGTGCAGATTTGATCCTTGGTCGGGGAGCAAAGATCCCACATGTCGCATGGCCAAAAAACCAGAACACAACAAACTCAATAAAGACTTTAAAACAATGGTCCATATCAAAAAAAAAAAAAAAAAAAAAACTTAAAAAATGGGTAGACCTGAATAGATATTTCTTCAAAGAAGACACAGAGATGAAAAGATAATTAACACTGCTAATTATTAAAGAAACACAAATCAGAACTACAATGTATCACCTTACACTGGTCAGAATGGCTGCCATTAGAAAGTCTACAAATAACAAATTGTTGGAGAGGGTGTGGAGAAAGGGAACCCTTTTTACATTATTAGTGGGAATATAAATAGATACAGCCACTATGGAAAATAGTATGGAGGTTCCTTAAAAAGCTGAAAATAAGAGTTGCCATATGATCCAGCAATCCCACTCCTGGGCATATATCTGAACAAAACTCTAATTTGCAAAGATATACACATGCCTATGTTTACAGCAGCACTATTTATAATAGTCAAGACATGGAAACAAATGTTCATGAACATATAAATGAATAAAAAAGATGTGGTGCACATATACAATGGAATATTACTTTCAATTATAAAAAAATAAATAATGTCATTGGCTGCAATATGGATAAACCTAGATAATATACTAAGTGAAGTTAAGTCAGAAAGAGAAAGATATCATATGATATCACTTCATTTAAATGTGGAATTTTAAAAAATGATTCAAAGGAAATTATTTACAAAACAGAGACTCAGATACAGAAAAACTTAAAGTTACCAGAGGGGAATGGGTGTAGGGGATGATAAATCAGGAGTTTAGGATTAGGAGATACAAACTACTATACACAAAATAGATACAAAACAAGGTCCTACTTGATAGCGCAAGGAACTATATTCAATATCCTATAATAAACCAAAATGGAAAAGAATATGAAAAAGAACAGAACCAGGAAAATAAGACCTATAGTGAGGCAATAAATCAATCAATTGAAACTGACCCAAATGATAAAATTAGCAGACAAGGATAGAAAACCATTTTTAAATTGTATACCAGATTTCAAAACGTCAAAGACAGACATGATTAAAAAAGACAAAGGAAGAGAAACTATCCAAATGAAACAGAGAAAACATAATTAAAGAAAACACAGCACCAGTGAACTCTGAGACAAATGTGTAACTGGAATCTTCACAAGAGAGTGAGGGAACAGAATAAAGTATTCAAAGAAATAATCGTAAAAAAAATTCCAAATTTGATAAAATGATAAATGTGCAGCTCCAAGAATTCCCAAGTATAAGAAACATCAGGAAAAATACACCATGGCACATTATAATCAAATTGCTAAAAACCAGTGGTGAAGAAAAAGACACATTATGCAAAGAGGAATAAAGATGACAGATTTTTCATCAGAAATGATACAAGTAGAAAGTAGATGAACATCATTAAAGTACTGAAATAAAGTGTCAATGTACAAACTTATACCTGTCAATCTATAAATTTATACCCAGCAGAAAATATTTCTGATAAGTGAAGACAAAATAAAAACTTTTTCAAACATACAAACGCTTAAAGAATGGTAATGATAACCCTATATGCAAAAAAGATAAAGAGACACAGATGTACAGAACAGACTTTTGGACTCTGGGAGAAGGTGAGGGTGGGATGTTTCGAGAGAACAGCATCGAAACATGTATATTATCTAGGGTGAAACAGATCACCAGCCCAGGTTGGATGCATGAGACAAGTGCTTGGGCCTGGTGCACTGGGAAGACCCAGAGGGAGCAGGTAGAGAGGGAGGTGGGAGGGGGGATCAGGATGGGGAATCCATGTAAAACCATGGCTGATTCATGTCAATGTATGACAAAACGCACTACAATACTGTAAAGTAATTAGCCTCCAACTAATAAAAATAAATGGGGAAAAAAAAAAAGAATTTATCACCAGCAGACCCACACTAAAACAAAAGTCCTTCAGACAGAAGAAAAATGATGCAACATGGAAATACAGAGCTACACAAAACAATGCAGGGCAAATGCCCAGTGGAGCCAGACAAGATGATACAGAAGAGTGGAGGGTGAGGGGTACAGACCTTCTAATAGAGGCAGCTGCTGCTTAGCCACAGCTGCTATCCTGAAAGCAGCCTGGTGTCACCAGCTCTTCCAAAAAGAAGACAGGACATGGAGATGTTCATACGAAAGTTACCTATGTTAAATTCAAGGTGCAGCCAGAGCCTGTCTTTAGCCTAGGGGAAACCAAAGCTCCTAGGAAGTTAAAACATAGCTAAGTCCTGAAATTAAAGAGAGATAAAATCTCTTTCGGAGAAGGCAATGGCACCCCACTCCAATACTCTTGCCTGGAAGATCCCATGGATGGAGGAGCCTGGGGGGCTGCAATTCATGGGGTCGCTAAGAGTCAGACACGACTGAGCAACTTCCCTTTCACTCTTCACTTTCATGCACTGGAGAAGGAAATGGCCACCCACTCCAGTGTTCTTGCCTGGAGAATCCCAGGGACGGGGGAGCCTGGTGGGCTTCTGTCTATGGGGTCGCACAGAGTCGGACACGACTGAAGTGACTTAGCAGCAGCAAAACCTCTCCAGCCCTTCCTAACTTTCACAACTATTGTCACAGAAGCTGGCCCATCATAACATGTCATCACATGGCTGCAGAGAAGGGACAACTTGGAAAAGCTCCGACCCTTGAACTGCAGCTCCTGGCACACCACAGGCTGCATCCCACCTGGTGTGGCCAAGAGCCTAGCACAGAGCTTCACCATTCTGACTGCTGACTCTAGCATTTTACGGCTACCCATTCTCTGGATTTTCACAGGGGAAGGCAACAAACTCCCTACACAAGTGTGATGATGAAACAACAGGTGGCTCCCTGGCCCCGAGAATGAAACTTAAAACCTGTAACTTGGCATTTGAGGCCCCTCCACCACCCAACCTGTCATCTTCGGGGTGGGCACCCCATCCTAGGGGGCCATCCTTGCCCTGGCCCTGGGATGTCTATCTATCTCTCTCTGCTTAACTGACTCTTTACGGCCCAAATCAAGCCTCCCCTCTTCCTCAGCCCTCAGGAAAAAACTCAAAAACCCCTTCTTCCATCCACGCATCCCTCGGCACTCAGCATCAGCAGCTGAAGATGCCGTGATGGCAGAAACAGGGGGCCAGACTTGGGACCACGCTGGCACACGTGAGGACGCGCGTTATGTCTGCGCTGCGTGTCACTCCCGACCCTGAAGCCCGCAGAGCTCGGGCCGGCACCTGAGGCCCACACACCGGTCGTAGTAGTCCCTGTGGCCCCGGTGGTCTCGGTCGCTGCTGTACTGGTCATACGGCCTCTTCCTCGACAGGCTGTTGGGGCGGTAGCTCCCCGAGCGGTGGGCGTCCATGTGTCGCCGGTCCCCGTAGTGGTGGTCCTTGTACCAGTGCTGCTCGTACTGGTGGTGCCGGTCACTCCCCCAGGGCGGGTTGTTATTGCCACCGCCATAGTTGAACTTTCTTTCCCTCTGCCAGTCGCCTCGGTCTGCAAGAAAATCATCACCTCGTGACTGCAAGAAATGGCTGCGTTTCACTTTCACTAAAGTTTAAACTGGAAAGGGCTGACGCATGCTGCAGACAGACATTCCACTTCCTCCTCCTTGGCTTTGTGCTGCTGGCTATCAAACAGGTAATGAGTCCAAACATTCTTTCCCAAAATGTTTAATGCAAAAGAAACCTTACCACCTTTCTCCTTCTGCAATCTTAAAAACTACTGCTTTTTGTTTTTCCTTTCTTTTTTTTTCTTTTACTGCTTTTCATTTTCTATCTGCTTGCCTTCCAATCCAGGGCAGACTCTTAAAACGAGATTTCACAAAAGCAAACAAACAAAACCCAACAACAACAGCAAAAACCAAACACCAGGCAATTATTTGGGAAAAGGCACCGCTGAGTTTCACAGCCACAGGTAACATCCTCTGTTTACCCCTCTAAAGTTCATTTACCTGCTGGCACCGTCAGCTATGCCTCGTCCCGGGACACCTTGCTAGGCCATACATGCTGATGCCACCCTTCTTCCTCAGCCCACACCCTTCCTCGCACTCCTCCTGTAAAAAGTGGCTCCTCTAACTCTGGGTTCTGTAACTCTCAAGAATGGGAGCCAAACTGCAGTTTGTTTTAGATTCTCTAAGCCTCCCTTTTTTTCCTGAGGTGAAGAATCACACTTATGAATCATAAAAGGCAGTGAAAACACAGAAGTCCAGGAAAGGAGGCTCAACTGGGTTGAAATGTGGTCCCCAAAACGTAGACCCACTTGGAGCCTCTCAGTGTGACTTCAGTTGAAAACAGGGTTTCTGAAGTTATAATGATGGATTCTGACTGGAGATCACCTTGGACTCATTTGCACTGGGCCCTAAATCCAGTTGGGGACAAAGAGACACACAGAGGAAGGCCACGGAGAGAGGAAGACAGAGACTGGAGCCACGCAGCCAAAAGCCACACCACCATGGCTTGCTGGCAGGCTGTCGGCCAGGAGCGTGTGCCGAACAGGTTCTCCCTCAGACCTTGCACAAGGAACCAACCCTGCTGACACCGTGATCTCAGAGTTCTGCCTCCAAACCTGACAGAACACATTTCTGTTCTTTTAAACCACCTAGTTTGCAGTACTGTGTTACAACAATCTCGGGAAACTAACACAGAGGCTTAACCAGCAGGAACTCTCTGGCCTCACGGGACATCCATCTTCCAGGTACGATTTGTTAAGATCAAACATGTGCCACCAACTAAACCTCTCTCTACTCATTCTATTGGCCTTCTAGCATTCTTCTACAAAGCCAAAGAATAATTCCATCAAGGAACCTGTTAGGCTTAGAAATTTAGACCATCAAAATAATACACAGTCAACCGGTGGCTTAAATTCATTGCTGACCCAGGGTGGAGCACCAGGGGACCAAGAAGTAAAATACTTTTGACTATTCAACCAAAGAACCAACGAACAACAAAAAGACACACCTTCACAAAATGAAAGGATCATTTGAAGATGGCTTCAAACGAAATAGAAGGTAAAGTTTCAAAAGGGTGTCAAGGTATGTGGTACAGTAGAGATGCTTAAAACTCAAGCCAAGTCATTTATTTCCAGAGAAAGTAAACAGTGCTTTTCTTCCTTCTTGAATCCTCCATGGGGTAGGGTCACTGGTTGGGAAGTACTGACTATTAAGGAGAGGGGGTGACCAATGTTCATCGCAGCGCTGTTTATAATAGCCAGGACATGGAAGCAACCTAGATGCCCATCAGCAGACGAATGGATGAGGAAGCTGTGGTACATATACACCATGGAATATTACTCAGCCATTAAAAAGAATTCATTTGAATCAGTTCTAATGAGATGGATGAAACTGGAGCCCATTATACAGAGCGAAGTAAGCCAGAAAGATAAAGACCATTACAGTATACTAACACATATATATGGAATTTAGAAAGATGGTAACGATAACCCTATATGCAAAACGGAAAAAGAGACTCCGATGTATAGAACAGACTTGTGGACTCTGGGAGAAGGCGAGGGTGGGATGTTTCAAGAGAACAGCATCGAAACACGTATATTATCTAGGGTGAAACAGATCGCCAGCCCAGGTTGGGTGCATGAGACAAGTGCTCGGGCCTGGTGCACTGGGGAGACCCAGAAGGATCGGGTGGAGAGGGAGGTGGGAGGGGGGACCGGGATGGGGAATACATGTAAATCCATGGCTAATTCATTTCAATGTATGACAAAAACCACTGCAATGATGTAAAGTAATTAGCCTCCAACTAATAAAAATAAATGAAAAAAAAAAAAATAAGGAGAGGGGGTGAGAAATCCAAAGTTTTAAAGACTACGAGTTAGTTTAATAAGAAGAGTTCCCTCTAAGGATCAGAATATAAAATCAGTGACCTCACAGTCTAATCCCGAGAGGAAAAAAATCCGGTAAAACTGATACGACTGCATCTAAGAACATGGAAATATTTTCCAACCATGTTATTCTATAGTCATTCCTTACCCCACCAATAAAATGGAGATCAATTAATCGACCTAAGATTTTTAGGATTAATAGATATGGAACTTCTACAGAATTACACCCTGCCAAAAACAATTAGAAAATGCCAGATAAACGGAAAGTAATCTACTTAAAGACATCAGAGAGCAGCCCAAGCAACACAGACTAGAAGGGATAAGATTCCAAAGAGCAAAAAACCAAAGAGGTAGCAAGAGTCGACTTCTGCGGAAGTCACTGCAGTTCACCGGGGAGATCTGTGACTCTGAGCCTGGGCAAGAAGCTGAATACCCGGGCTTTTCCCAGCAGAGAACCCCTGCTGGAGAAACAGAGCCACCAGCAGAGCCCTTGGTGGTCTTCCTAAGCTAAAGGGACACTGGAGACTTGAAGGACTCCAAACACACAGCCAGTTTTCCCTTACAACATTTGCTGAACCTGCAGGGAGCACAAGGCTAAAAGGCGAAGCTGGAGACCTTCTGACAGGCAGAGCAGCTGAGGGTGGTGTCACAGTGCCAGGCAAACCAGGATTCAGTTTAAGAGCTTCCCGCAGGGAGGGCCACCGGGTGCAGCAGGCCCCCTGCTGAGCTCCCTGGAGGGCCAAGCCCCAGGAGCAGGGGGCAGAGGGGGACCAGGGCACTCGCTACTGCAGCCATCGCCGCCCGCTCTGTGTGACTGGGGAGCGAAGAGTAAATCCTCTCTGGGGCAGAGAGACTTCATCTGGAGCTTGTACAATTTTTAACACACAATGCCTGCCATGTAATCAAAAATAACTAGGCACGCTAAAAGACAGGGCCGTATGACTGAAAACCAAGGGGGAAAAGAAAACATACAAAATGGCTCACAATAATTCAGATATTAGAGTCAGCGGTCAAAAATTTTTAAATATCTACAGTTAATGTGTTTCAAATACAAAGAAAAGGTGAAGAACACTGATTTTTCTAAAGGCTTGAGAACTTTACTGGAAGATGAGAATGTACTTTAAAGAAAAAAAGTCAAATGCAAATCCTAACACTGAAGTTTAAAAACAAACTACAATGAAATGAAAGTTTACTTCATTTTGATTATTATGGAACATTTGACTCTCTGTAAAATGTAATACTATGCTTCCATATATAACAGTGGTTCCCAATCTTTTTGGCACCAGGGACTGGTTTTGTGGAAGACAATTTTTCCATGGACTGGGGAGAAGGTTTGGTTTTGGGATGATTGAAGTGCATCATACTTATTGTACACTTAATTTCTATTATTACATCAGCTCTACCTCAGATCATCAGGCATTGGATCCTGGAGATTGGGGGCCCCTGACATATACTATATTAAGATTTTGTTCTATATGCTTTTTTCTTTCTTAGTATTTTTATCTTTAAAAGTAATTCATGCTCATTGTAACCAGTGAAGTAACAGATAATGGAGAAATTAATTTCCTCCAATCCTCCCACATTTTACCAGCCTAGAAGAAAAAAGAACAAAGAAAAAGAAGTGTTAATCGCTCAGTTGTGTCCGACTCTTTGGAACCCGAAGGACTCTAGCCCACCAGGCTCCTCTGTCCATGGGATTCACCAGGTAAGAATACTGGAGTGGGTTGCTATTTCCTTCTCCAGGGGGTCTTTCTGACCCAGGGATCAAACCTGGGTCTCCTGCATTGCAGGCAGATTCTTTACTGTCTGGGCCATCAGGTCCAAGGTAATTGCTATTTGTGTATGCTTTCACATCTTTCTCTATGCTTCTGCAAATACATCATTCAAATATTTATGATGGAAAACAGCTTGGTGGGTTCCTCAAAGAGTTAAACACAGAATTATCACATGACCAAGCAATTCCACATTCCTAGCTAAACACCTAAAAGAAGTGAAAACAGACACTCAAATAATTGCATACAAATGTGCACAGCAGTACAATTCACAACAGCCAAAAAGCAGAAACCCAAATGCCCATCAACTAATGAAAGGACAAATTGTAGTCTAACCATACAGTGGTGTATTATTCAGTCACAAAAAGGAATGAAGTACCGATGCATGCTATAGGGACAGACCTTGAAAACCAGATGCCCAGTGGAAGGTCCAACACATACTCTGTGAGTCTGTGTGATGCCATTAACACAAAGAATCCAGAATAAGCAAATTCACAGAGACTGTGGTAGTCATGAGCTGGGGAGAGGGCAAAATGAAGACAGTTTTCCCTCTGAGATGATCAAAATGCTCTGGCACCTGATAGAGGTGGCTGTTACACATCAACATTGTGAATGTTCTAAATGTCACTAAACTGTTCATTTAAAATGGTTACATTTCTTTACATTATGTGACTTTCACCTTATAAAGTTAAACACACATGCCACAGAGATTCTGTGGTTTTTGCTGCTGCTTTTTTTCCTTCCAATTTTGACTTTTATCTATAAAGCAACTCATTGTTTTTAACAACTGCTAATAATACAGAGTATAAATGCCCTATTATTCATCTAGCCATCTTTCTATTAGTGGGAGGTCAATTTATTTCCAGCTTTTTATCATTATAAGGCTACAACAGCACCCTCATCATACACATACGTGTTTGCATTCCTATAGGACAGACTCCCAGAAAATGGGCCTTTGTATTTAGATACTCCAGACTGTTTTCTGGAGTAGCAAGTCACACCCTTAGAAATTTGTGTGAATTTAACCCGGTAATTTTTGCTGATCTGAATGGATTAAAAAAAATGGTTAACTTATTGTTACTTTAATATACATTTCCCTAGTAGTGATACTGTTCATCTTGTCCTACTGGCCATTTGAATCTCCTCTTCCAAATGAATTTTCCATTCCTAACCTTTGTCCATTTTTATATTTGGTCATCAATTCATAAGAGGTTTTTCAGTATTAGCAGTTTTAACCATTTAACTCTCATACAATGTAAACGGTTTCCCTCAGTCTCTCATTTGTCTTTTGTTTACTTGAGTGAGTTATGTTCTCCCTCAAGTTGAATTAAGTCTTTTGGATCTTTATTTCATGTATTATTTCACTGAGGAAAAGAAGAGGACAATAAAGTGGCAGAAAAGAATAAAGCACAAAGGTCAGGCTACTGTCTTTGGAAAAGCAAACAATTCTTTTGTCACCTCTTCTTAAACCTTCATGTAATGCCTCACCTGCAGTACTAAAGTGTCTCTTGTTGGGGTGATTGTAGTTGTCTCTTGGGTGTCCGTGCATCTGTGGGCCGTGAGAGGCAGGCAAATGAGGCTTCTGCGGGTGAAGGTTGTGCGGGGTGTGGGACTGAGACATCAGGGAGTCACGGCTGGAACCCGAGGCCTCTGGTCGAAATGGTTTCTTACCCCCAATCACATCCTCTTTCTTCTTCTGCTCCTGGAGAGTAAAAGGAAACCAAAGACCCTCAGGATCCCAGGCGCAATTCCCAAGAACAGTATAAAAATCATCACCTTTAAACATTTCCCTCGTGATTTTTGACAAGTCCCTCTCGGCTTCCCTGCTGTTTAATACCTTCTTAAGAAAAAATGCTCGTACTCCACTGAGCTCCAGGGCATGAAAACCCTTACAGAGCCCATCTGCTGCTGCACCTACTAGGCCCCGCTCTGTAAGGAGGACAGTCTCCACAACTTGCAGCTCTCAGAGCACGGGCCGGGCTGCTGGCTGTCGCTGCCTGGGGTGAGGAGCAGGTGCCAGGCTGGCAGCCCTCCTGGAGGCTGCTCTCGGGCCGCGTGAAACCAGAACCACCAACCCCGACTGGTCCAGTGGGAACTGCTTCCCATGCCAGAGTCATCACACTGAACATATAAATCTAAGTAACATCACGCTCTACCACACAAATGAACTATTCAAAATAAAAACATCAGAAAATATAGTAAGGAAAAAATAAGAAATGTGAGGTGACCTAAAATCTCACCACTGAGGGAATTACTGTTAATAATCTGATCCATGTATGTGTTTATAAATATATATACAGTAGTCCCCCCAATCCATGGGTGAGAAAATCCAAGGCCCTCAGTGGAAGCCTGATACTGAAGATAGTACTGAATCTGTGTGTTCTATGTTTTCTAAAATGCATATATGCCTAGGGTACTTTACGTTAGGCACAGTAAGAGAACATCCAAATGACCGATATCACTACACTTAGGCTTTGTGGCTTTCATTAAATAAAATGAGGATTACCTGGACACAGCACTGCAATACCATAACATTCGATCTGACGGCGGCAATACCATAACAGTCGATCTAACAGCCAAGAGGGCTACCACTTAACTAACATACAGGCAGTGAATATGGTGTGGACATGATGGACAAAGGGGTGGGTCACGCCCCAGGCAGGACAGAGCAGCACGGCCAAGGACTTCATCACGCCACTCAAACCCGTGAGCAAATTACAACTTACGGATTGTTTATCTCTGGAATTTTCTATTTAATATTTTAAGACCATGACAGATTGCAGGTAACTGAAACTGTGGAAAGCAAGACTACATAGGAGGAACTACTATCTTGTGTGTGCGTGCACATGTGTGTATTTTTTAAACAAAAGTATTACTTGACATTCTTTTTTCAATTAACATCCTGTGAAAATCTTATGTGAATACTTACTGAATATTACTATTATATTTATGGCTGAATACTCCCTGATATGGATATATGAAGTCATTTCCACATAAACATATTTAAATCCTTAATTATCTCTTTCAACTAAATTCTTAGAACTGCATGTTTTAGTCTTTTGGTAAATCTTACTGAATTATCCTCCAGAAAGGCTGTGAATGTATACAATAACCCCAACTAGTAGGACCACTAGTTTCATTTTTCACCTTAATCTAACTTCTGATAACCTGACTAATGAAGCCCTTTAGCCTTTACATCATATGTCCAACTTACACTTATCCTAACTTCCCCTCTTTCCGAAAGTGCCTTGCCCAACTATTTCATTCCCTACTGGGGCTTTTCCTGACTATTCTTTCAAAGACTTTTCATAATGCATAAAGTTCATGCTAACATTCAGCAAAAATGTTACTAGAGTATTTCTGTATATTACTGTTCTAACATGTTTTTCCACGTGAAATTAAATTATAAACCACCTGAGGGTGCTGACCCACTGCTCACAGCAGTGCTGGCGCAGGCAGGCTCGTATTAACAGGAGACACTTCTGAGCACCTGCCCTGCGCCTGGCACCACTCCAGGTGCTGACAATCCGCGAAAGGATGAGCACCCTTCAGCTCGCAGGCCTCCGCAGAGCGGACGGGGTGGTGAAGGAGGTGTCGAGTGTTCCTAGCCTGGCCCTACGTGGCTAACTGGGGGGAGGGCCCAAAGGGCAAGTCAGCAGATGTGCAAATGGACACACCTCTTCGTGGCCATCCCCCGCTACCAAAGACAGGGCAGCATCTTCTGGGCACCTTTCAGTGTCTGTTCCTTCACTCAAGCGGTCGGGACCCTGTGCACAAAAGCTGGAAGGACGCCAAGGACACATAGCCCAGAGAGAACAGAAAGAGCAGGCGCTGCCCATGATGTGATCTTTCAGGAGCCACGCTGATAAGCCACCATAAGACATGTGCATAGGGAAGGAAGGGCCTGGTGAATAAACGCTTCCAGGTCAGAAGGACACAGAGGAGCAGGCCCCTCTCTGGCTCCTGTACACTGGCGCTATCACACGTCAGGTCTTAGCCAACAGTCTGACTAAGTGCAGTATGTCTGACTGAGTCAAGTCTGACTTACTTGTGGAGTATGCGGACAAACTGCACAGCTAAACGGTGGAAGAACCCGCCAGGCAAGAAGCCAGCCACACCCCCCTTCGGGCCCAGGCCTCCACCTGTAATGTAAGATCAGGGAACCCTGGGCCCTTTCCAGACGGCAACCTATGAGTTTACAATTGTCTCCTAGGCAAAAACAGTAATGAGGGAATTTTTTTGGCAGAACTGGTTTTTATCTGTTTGTATGAAGTAGGCTTAAATTTGTATTTTTACCTCTTCTTCTTGAGATCTTTTCTTATGAGCCATCTTGTATAACTTATGCAATTTTCGAGCATCAAATTCTGTAAACTTGGAAACAAAAATCCACAGGTTCCTAAAAAAAAGAAAAATACATTTTTTCTGGTAAATTATAGAATTTTAAAAATAACTGTTCTCTTTATGGATGGCAAGTTAATGAATTTTTCTATACTTGGAATACTTTCCAAGTACAGAAAATAGAGAAATAATCTTTCAGGTCTTGGCATCAATAACAAATACACATTCAGATGCTAGCTAATGTCAACAGAATTTGACCGAGGGGTCTAGAGAAAAGGGTTCTGTCTCACAACTAAAACCCCTCTAATTTATTTCACCTGTGACTTCAGACCTACTATCTGGCCCCACCTCTGTTCTCCCTGGACGCTCAGGCAGTCTGTCATGATCACCACCTCCGCAGGGACCCAGGTACAGTTGGACGTCTCTGCACTGCTGCCCCTTCCTTCCTCCCACTTGTCACCACCACAGCCTGCCATCTCTGCCTTCAAAACTCCAAGCAACTGCTCCCTCTGACTCCACTGTGCGTGGCCTGACTGTCAACAGGGAAATGACTGGCGAAGCAGGTGTGGAGAACACAGAGGCATAGGTACCCTCGTGTGCTGGAAGGAAAGGTGCATGTCCTCGAATGCTTCCTGGAGAGCAGTCACACCATGTCACGCAGTGCTGCTCAGAGAACACTGTCCAGCACCTGACCAGTAAACCTGCTGCCTCCTACGGAAAGTCACTTACCCGTCTCCCTTAAGCCTAGTAGCACTTCTGCCATCTTAACAACCTGCTTTAAACCCTAAGAGCCACCTTCACGGCTTCGCTGCAGCCCGAGAACTCTTCCATCTAAGCAGGCCCACTCCGCCCTCCCACGCCGGCCCGGTCTACCTGCCTGCCCCCGCACGACTTCCCTCCCTGGCCACTCCTCTGCACAGGTTTCTGCCTTCCTGGAATTCCTACTAGACTTGATCTTCCAAGCACCACTTCATGAGGGACAGTTTCTCATGAGTGGGCAAGGAATTACTTATGAATCACAGCAGGCCAGGACCACAGTACCCAGCGCATCTAAACACAGACTGGCCTCAGTGCACAGTATCCAGCCTAGCTTCATGGATCTATATGCTAGGATGATGACCTTTTATTATCTTCCAATAGGGATTAAGCTGGGTAAAATGAGAGCCAGATGGCTAGATACAGGGATCCAGAAGTTGGGAACAGTCTAAGAGGATAGTCAAGTCACATTTCAAAACTTAAATATTCTTTTTTCATGGCTCTGAAGCATGCTATGAATAGCATCATGACATAGGTTTTCTTAAATCTCCTTTTCAGTCAAAAATCCATCCACTGATATTAGGCTATTACACAAAGATAATTAACTGTAAAGTATATGAGTTCAGTGTCACAAAGATAATTAACTGTAAAGTATATGAGTTCAGTGTAACTGTGGAGTATAGAAAGAGACTTAATGTTACAATTGTCTTCGAGAAATTCCAGGCACGTTTTTATAAACATAGAAATGAATTATAAATGAATCTAGGTAAGTCATGATGTCTTACAAACTGAAGTTCTGGATTAACCGCATTAATCCAAATTACTACTACAGCTCTTCAACTATTAAAGAGAAGAAAACTCACAGCTCTGGTGGTTTGAACCTTTGCCTCCTCTTATTAGTTGATAGAGAACTAACCAACTAGTTGGACTATCTCTGACTGTTAACCTGAGATGGGTAGAGTAGTGAATTTATAGATGATTTCTATCCCTTCCAGGTTCAGAATCTTTATTCTGAGGACAGGCCAGCAAATCCAGTATCACAGTATTTTTCTCATAAAGTAATAATATCATCCTACCCAGTCAAGACTGGTCTCAGAGGAATAGGCTATTTCAGGAAAGAAAACTGAAGCCTGCAGGTATGCTGCCAATCATCGGCTTTTGCTGAGAAAATGTTTTTTCATTAGGTGGCTGTGTCATGTTGCATAAAACAAAAATAGAATCCTAACACACACTCTGTCATCAAGTCAGAACAGGCGATCCGACAGGCATGCAAGCCGCGGCGGGTTACCTCCTCCACAGCTTGACGTGCTCCTGGTCTGAGTAGGCCTTAAGGCACTCAGCGATCCGGTCCCCGATCTTCAGCAGGCAGTTGCGGGTGTGCTCCAGCTGCTCCTGGACGCTGAGCCCCTTGTCAGGCTTGTCCAGCTGTTTCAGCGCCTTCTTCACAGGCCGCATCCTCTCCTTACACTGCAACAGAGCAGAGACGTGAGCCAGCCGCATCCCGCGCTTACTGTGCCCTGAATTCCCAGAGAGCACACAGCCCCTCAGGCCAGTGATCACTCATGGAGAAGCAGGGGAAGAAAGGCAGGGCAGCAAGGAGAAATGTTAGAGCCGGAGAGACTTGAGGTTCCAGTCTCAGCTCCACCACTCAGAGCAGTGACATTCACACCTTACTTGGTCTCTAGAACACTGCTCTGCTTCCTCACCTGCCAGAAGGGCATTCATGACGAAAATCAAATGAGAAGCAGCGTTACAGACCTAACCTGAAAACCTGGCACCACAAACTACCTAAAACTGTAGGGTAAAATATTTACAAGTCCTTTAGGTTTATAAGAAACTGAGAGAAAGGCATCCAGATAAAGACAGTGGACTGAACACAAGAAACTTTTTCTCCCTGTCTCCATCCACTAACACAACAGGAAAGGAATTGCCTTCAGAAGAGATAAACTCACAAAGACAAGGCAAATGCAAGAAAACAACAGCAGCAAAATAGTACAGCAAGTAAAATTGCTTAACAGAGAGCTGAGAGCCAACCTGATTTATGCTGCAAACTTATCGCCCCAAAGGCTTGCTAAGTATCACGGCGGTAAGGGTGAAGGCTGAAAAAAAAGGATTTTTTTTTTTTTAAAGACTGCCTAAAAGGAACAGACACCCAGATCTCTAACTCTGCCCAACAACATATATGGAAGTTTATTCTCTGGAGAGGATAAAAGTCTTTTAACTGGGCTACACAGGCATAGTTGGGGGGTAAGGCTATTGCACCGAAAACAGCATTATATGGAATACATGCATAATATATGCATATTAGATGAGCCACCAACCAGCTTGGTTTTTTTGGGTTCTTTTGCCTCTCAGATTCCAGAATGAAGAAAGCCAGGTCTTAATCCTCCATCAGGAAAACTGGAGGATTCTTGTGCCTAAAACCTGACTACCCAAGAGCAAGAATCAAAAGATGCCAACCACCCCACTGAAGTTTCTAAGGAAGCATCCCAGCCAGATCACCCTACGAAGAACACTCTCAAAGCCGATCAAGTGCCACCCACATCTCAGAGGTTCCAATCAGAAGTTTAGTCTTTACTCTTAAATATAAGAAGACAACCAAGGAGTACCAAACCATTGAAACAATCTAACACGAATGATGGAAAACAAATCTAGGAGAAATAAATGGGGAAAAAAGATCTTGGAAATAAAATATGATAAGAGAAGTGAAGAAAGCCTCAAAAGAAATAATGGCATTTTTCCTCAGAAATAAAGCTGAGGAGATCTCCGAGAAATGCAGGATTGACAAAGAAGAGAAAAACATTTTAAGATAATATCAGGGATCACTCCCAGAGTCCAATGTCTGAAAACTAGCACAAAACCAACAACTGAGGAGGAAATTACCACAGAGTAAGTCAGGAGAATTTCTCTGACCTGAAGGGTATGGTTATCAGCCACTAAGTTTCCAGTATAAGGAACTAGTAAGGCACATGTCCATGTGACTGGATAACAATGAAAATCCAACAAACTCCCATCACTTCGTGATAATCTCCATAGACATACACCTAAAATCTTTTCAGTATTATATTTAAAGTTTTAAAAAGGACACAAAATAAACTGGAAGATATTTGTAATGACTGTAACAGACAGACGATTAGTATCATGAACAAGATTCCTAAAGAAAAGGTAAGGACTACCCATAATCACTTTTAAAAATCCAGATGCATATCAGAATTATCTTGACGTTTTTTGAAAAATACAAATGCTCAGGTATTGGAGGGGGTGGAGAGTCTGGATATAAAAGTTACTTGGAATAGACAAAAGATATGAACAGTCAATTCACTGGAAATATGAATACCTGATAAATATGAAAATAAATGTTCAACACTACCACTAGCCAATTTTTTCATACCTCTTAGATTGGCAAAAATTAAGAAGTCAGAAATTACCAAGTGTTTCCAACACTGGGAACCACCTAGAACTCACACTCATCATTAGAAAGGGAGCAAATCTTTACAATTGCCTTGAAGATGAATTCTACAACATCTAATAAAGCAGGAGATGTGCAGACCCAAAGAAACACCTGGCTTTTCTACACAAGCTACACACTAGAGGAGCTATTACACACACGTATGACAATATATTTACAATTTCTTTTTTTGTTGTTGTTGTTGTTTCTTTCAAAAAATAAATATTTATAAACTTAGGGTGGAGGATTCAAAGAATCAAGAGTCTCTTTCCCACCAAAAGCACAAATATCCCACTGTAGCCTATTTGTAGTGGTGAACATTTGGAAAACCCCAATGTCCATCAATAGGATAAAGAATGAATTGTGGAAATCATAGAATAGGAAACACTGAAATCAGAGACACAATTATCAACATGAATAAATATCAAAAGTGTGCATGCTGAAGCAAGTTACAAGATAAACAGTGTGGCATTTATCAGTAGGTTCCAGTCATGGGAAGCAGCAGTGCATGCTGTTTATGGACACTTGGGAGGATGTGCAGTATAATGGGAAGAACCCAGACTCTTGGGTCAAATTGCCTGGGTCAGATCTTAGCTCTGCATCTTAACTCTGTGAAAAAGGACAAGTTACTTAACTCTCCTCACATTATTTTTTAATGGGTAAAACAGAGATGATACCTACCTCACAGGTTGTCATGGAGAAAATACACAAAAAGCACACGAAGAATACCTGGCCGACTATGTGAGCTGTTACTGTCTTTAAAGATACTAAGCAGTAAAACTCTGAAGTCATACGGGAGGACGGTGACAGGGGAGGACTAGGACACACAAGGACAGCGACACGGGAGGGCACTTCTGGGAAGGGGACAAAGCAGGGCCCAGAGCTGTAACTTTACAGGCTGAGCCTTAAAAACACAGACCTGACAAAACTCCACAGTACCTCTATCAATGCCTATTATATTTCTGAAGTTTTTCTGTTTTTTAAAAGATATCATAATATAAAAACAAGAGTAAATGAGCTGGTATATATAAATGCATTTCCCTCTTTTTTTTTTTTTAATTCAGATGCAGTTGATTGATGCTTCCTTCATGGGTCAGTGGTAAAGAATCTGCCTTCCAGTGAAGGAAACGCAGGTTCGATCTCTGGGTCGGGAAGATCCCCTGGAGAAGGAAATGGCAACCACTCTAACATTCTTGCCTGGGAAATCCCATGGACAGAGGAGCCTGGAGGGCTACCATCCAAGGCGTTGCAAAGAGTCAGGGATGACTTAGCGACTGAACAAGAACAACAAACAGCTCATTTACAATGTTGTGTAAAAGTCATTTTTAAAATAATATGGTACCACAGAAGCATTAGTCAATGATTTTCTCCAATAAATACTGGGTTAAGAGAAGCAAGAAACAGATCAGAGAGCTGGTTGGGTAATTTATTCATTTACTCACTTACTGAGATACTTCTATCATCTCCATGTATTTTAGAAGACATATTACTTTCCCTCAGCTCACAGGAAGAAGAGTAAAGAGATTTAAGAAAAATGAGATAAGTGTGAAGAGGAAAGAAAAATACACACATGCATATATGTTTTTGGGAACACACACACATACACAAAAGGGTAAAAAGAGAGAAGACTCTTACAGGACGAAGTCAAAATTCTATCCATTGCTGCCCCAGAGCACGAATATTCTGAGAGTTGGAAGACCACTTTTTCTTCAAAACTAAATGAACATACACTTAAATCAAGTGAACAGTGATGTGTGGAAGTCTGAGAGAGGAAGAGACCTCAAGAGAGGAGAAGGGGCACGAGTGCAGCACAATGAAGCACACACCCGCAGCACCGATGAGGGGCAAGTCCCCGAGGACGCGCTGCTGGCCTGTCACCATCCTACTGAAGGCCTGGTCCACGACTCTCCCCTCAGCTTCCCTGCCTCTTAGGAGGAGGCGCGCCACGGCTTGGAACACACCCTAGGCCACGGCTTAGCTCCTCGCCCCATAACACGGGAGCATGTAAGACAGGCCATGCTTGCCACTGCTCCAGCTCACACGGCCAGGCCCCCAGCCTGGTCTCATGTCATGTCATGCTGCTCATTAGACCGACTGAGTCAGGCCGCAGGAACTAGGAGAGGCGTGGCAAGCACGGCAGCTGCAGACCCCGCCCCCTCGATTTCAGGACTTACTATGCTGAATGTCTCCTGGTCCAGATCATCCTCCTCATCCTCTCCAATGGGGACGGGTTCGCTTCCTGCGGTGATGTGGACAGGGCCCTGAGAGCGCTTGGATTTACTGGAAGATTTGGCATCACCACCTTTAGGCTTTTCAGAAAAGAGTTACAGGAGTCATTGTCATTTGTGTGCTCCTGTCTTGCAATCTGGACTTCTTTGCTGTGTCACAGCACTGCAAGTGGGTACACCAGATGACCTGTTTCGAGAGCTCATGAGGCCAAACATATTTAATCACAGTTTAATCATATATCATTCCCATTCCTGTCTCTAAACAGAGCCAATGATAATTTGAGCTTCATCAGTGCTATTCTGGCTTTATTCCTTAATCAATGAAATGTACAAAAACGTCATCAAGAGGCTAAGACTGTAAACTGAAGAGCTCCAGCAGAGGAGCAAGCAGCAACTTCATTAAGAGCCTAAGAATGAGCATGTGCTTCCGTCTAAAGAACGACATACTTTAAGTGACTGAATGTGTATGAATCCAGGCGGATGAAGCTCATGTATCCATGAATGGGTGCAGAAAGACGGAGATACAAATATAAATAAAAATTAACTTTAGGCACGAACATTTAAAAACATAAAACAATACTATGCTTCATTTATGATTACATAATATGTAGGAAAAGTATAAAAACTTGGTTTCATACCAATTTCATAGCGTTACAGAGGAGAGTAATGAAACTGGGAGAAGGACCAGAGGGGACCTTCAACTTAGGGGCGTTCAGTAATGGCTGTGTGGAACACCAAACACAGTAGCCAGAGAAAAACCCACTTGAAGTAAACATGGAAAATGTTAACAGCTGCAATATCTGTTGCTGGTACCAATATCTGGTACAGGGTTGCTGGTTAAATCGTTTTCTGTATATCTACTTTTTAAATATTTCATTTTAAAGGTATCTTTCTGCAGAAGCACAAATGCAAAGAAAGATATCTGTCTCAGTAGAGTTTGTAACATTAGAAATTTGAAAGCAATGTCAGTATGGGAAACTTAAATTACTTCTAAAAAGTTATAATCAAACAAAATCTTATCTACTAAAAATGACTTTTTTATTTATTTGCTTGGAAAGCTAATTGTGATATATTGTTATGTGGGAAGACAAGGCAATCCAAATAGTCTGGCCTAATTTTTTGAAAAATTTGTTTTCTAAACAAATTTTTAGATTTGTTCTTATAGGCATATAATAAAAGTTTCATATGTCCTCATCAAGAAATCTGTTAGACTTACACGTGGATGGTAAAATTCGGTTATTTGCATGTTTTAACAATGATTAAAGATTAATTGAAAAATAACTTCATCAGAAGTCAGCAAGATGCAACACTATATCAGAATTCTAGGTTTGGAATGAACTTCATAAAACCCAAATATGAAGATTACATAATAACAAGGCTTTTAACCTATTTCTACTCTTGATAGTATCTGGTTTGAACTCTAAACATTTCATGTATTCAGATTCATCTGTGGTTGGTGCTTTTCTACCATACGTCTGAGAACATGTATCAGGTAACTTCCTGTCCCATCTCATTCTAACACCCTCTCTGAAATGTGCAATAAAAGAGCAAGTAAAGGCTTCTATATTGAAGAATACTGCAACTCATACACTGCCCCCTCTCTGCAGGAAGAGCTGCAAGCATCCCGACAGGAAGCCCCATCCTTCCTCCTGGGATATAGTCATGAAATGACAATTCTTTCAGGGCCCTCAAACCCCGTTTTATTTCTAAATCATAGAAGGGAATCCCAAAGGCTGCGGGCATCTCCGGAAGTACAATGGCGTCAATACCTTCTCTTTCTTGTCTTTCGATTTCTTCCTTTCCTTGTCCCCTTCCTTGTCTTTCCTAGAACTCATTTGTTTCTCCTTATTCTCCTTGTTCTCTTTCTTCTTCTGTTTCTTTTTCGTTGGACTTTTTTCTAAGCCATCATCCTAGAAAACAAATGGGGCTGTGAGCTTTTGCCACAAACTTTATATTTCCTCATTTACTTTCTAGAAAAAAAAAAAAAAACTAAAAAGCACTGCCCTCAATGGTTCATCACTGCATCCACAGAAGCGTGTTCTCAAGCACACAGCCTTAAAGCCATCTGCTTCAACTGAAGCCTATAGAGGCAGATGCTCTTCACTAACATTTTCTCTTTATTATTCACAGCAACCCTTCAACATAGGCATCGTTATTCCCATGGAAAAAACTGAAGACCAAAGAGATTATTGCTAGGTAGTAACTGGTAAGATTGGTAGAATTTGAATTTACATATGCTTGACTCAAATCCATGCTAGTTCACCTACTCACTGCTGAGCCTCCTGGAACTAACCTCAAAGTGCAACAAAATAAAATCCCATAAAATTTTCAGTCACTGATTCAACGGGATGAATGCTACCAAGTTACTTTTCACTTTCCTTAGACCACAGGTTACAAACTAACAGACAGGCCAAATCTGATCCACAGAAGAGTTTTTTAGGCCCAACAATGAACTGCATCATAGGTGAACCTATGCATGAGGCATGCACTCCCTGATTAACCACAGTCTCCACCACTCCTTATCATCCCAACAGTGATGCTGAGCATCAGCTGCCATTTATCATTGAATTTCGTGGTTCCCTTTATTTGCTTCCATTATCTATGAATTTTCAATCACTGATTTTACATGAACAACTATATTCCTCTCTCACAGGTTAAGCAAAGATACATGCATTTTCTATTTCCATTTTACCTACTCTGGTATGTAAACCAAACACACTTCAAATGGTTTTACACCAGCTGGCACAATAAATGTAACTTAGAAAATACTCTCAGCTGAAATCCAGCCTCATACCTTTACTTCCCCCTCTTCTGACGGATTGTCCGAGTGTCGAGGAGATGAAAACTCAATCCCATGCTCGTCCTTCAGCCTCGGTGCTTTGTTTTCCTTTTTCACTCGAGGCTTCCGCTTCTTTAATTTGGCCTGGAAAGAGAAGAAAATGATGATAAAAATAAAAATCAAGTCCCTCAAAAGCATGACCACATAACATTCCGATTCTTTGCATAGTAGCAGTCACATAATTCAAAAGAGGAAACTCAAAAGAAATTCAAGATAGTACAATCAATTTTATCTGAAGGAGAAAAAAATAAAAACATTGTGTGCCTCACAAAAATGTCCATATTCTTGAACCTACTGACTTCATTTTTTGGAACTTAATCTCAAGACAAAATTCAAAAGAAGGAAAAACACATTGTGCACAGATACAAAGAAAAGATAATATGCAAAAGATAACGACAGGAACAGAAAAAAAATGCAGAAGCATGCTATATTTAAAAATAAGGAAAATGTGTTTATCTACTCAGATATACTATTATCCAAAAGTAAAAAACATGGTATCATCTCTCTCTCCAGAACCTAACTTACAGAATATCCTCAACATATTATGTGAAGAATGACATGTAACGGGACTTTGTTAAGGACAAAGTATGGGATTGGGGTTTTTTTTTTTTTCTAAAATTTGCTTTGTTTACAATGCAGGGAAATTAACACAAATGGCATAGCTCTAGGAGCACTTAAGAATATGTACACATAAAGGCTACTGGTACTGGCTGTAATCTGTATTATCTCCTAACTGTGATCTGCATCTTTCCAGGCTTGAAGAGAAATGAAAAGCTGAGGAAATAAAAGGCAAAGCTCAGAGGAGTCTATTAGTAACTCAGTTGAAATCTTTCACTGAGCCATTGCAACTAAAGTCCACTTTCTGAATTAACTGTGTATCCTAATTACCCATTTTATCCCTGGGACCTGTGACTACACATAGCCAGTGTTAGCTGGAACAACAAGCAAACCCAGTGATATTCAGACGGTAGTAAGATCTATATTCCAAAACTGAGGAAAGGGCATAAAGCAACAGCAACAGTCTATCTAGACCAGGGGCACTGCAAGAGATGATAACTATCTGAGGCAGTATTTTAGGAGAATGGGTTTATGCTAAGGTGTTCAGGTCAATTACTACACAAACATTCCTACCATTACCAACCAAATCATTACTACTGAACTCCCAATAGCAACACCTGACAAGGAGAGGGTAGCATTCTGTGCCATACCCGGCGGGGGCATCTCTTGCCCACCTAACCCTGCAGGGCAGGAGCCTCGGGCCCTGGGGACGCCCAGCCGGCAGCTGCACTCACCTCTTCCCCGCCCGTCACGGCGCCCTCCTTCTCCAGACTCTTCCTGAGCAGCTTCAGCAAGTAGTCTGCTCGGGTCTGCAGCTGCTTCCCCTGGGGCTTTTTATCTGTCTCCATGGGCAGAATCTTCAACAGGAAAGGAAGAGAAGCACCCGGCATGGCCCACGGCCCGGTTAGTGGATCAGGATGCACAGATGTGACAAACAGCTGAGCGATCCTTTCCCTCCCCAGCCACCCAGAACACAGATAAAGCCTCAGATCCTATCTCATGTCCATGGCTCCCAGTCACTGAACATCCCTTATGAGCCGTTCTCGTTTTACAAAATGGGATGGAGAAATCCAGCTCTCCCACTGGCTCCTACCTGTGCTGTTAACAGGGAAGAACAACTCAGGTAGGAGGGGCTTGTTGGCTTCGTCTGCTAGAGCATCCCAGCCGTCGTGGATTTCCTCCTTCCAGGAGCAGGGAATCCCTGGAGCTAGGTTAAAGCTTCGTTTTAGATTGAAAATGCTTCTTAGAGCATTGCCGGAGAGCACTGAGCTATGCCAGGACACAGCGGGACCTCCTGGCCAGGCTGGATGTGGTCTCAGTGCTTATGGCAGGGTGCCGGCACCCTCTGAGAACACCGCACCAGGGACGAGCGCTGTGTGACGCGCCAGGAAAAGCCCTGCCGGGAGCCCAACATGGAGCACATCCTACAAAAATTTGAGCCAGTCAGCTTTCCCTGCTTACAGCTCTGAGCACGGCCTCACTACTAGGCAGCCTGATGTGCAACGGATAGGGTGGGAGGCTTGATTTTGTGGGAGAAGTACAGCCCGTGTTTAACTCCATTACAAAAAATACCAAGGCACGGCTCATTCTTCCTCCAAGTGGAGAGCTGATCCAATATCATTTTAAAGAAAGTGGCAACAACTCAGGCCGAGGAATGCTTTTATTATTAATAATCCAACCCTGGTATTTGTTGCAATGAGACCTAACCTATGATAAATATCAGAATTTTAAGATTTCTCCTATATATTTCCCCAAAATTTCACCTGGCTATTATCTTCAGCTCTGAAAACAGTGCCACAGACCACTAAAGACAATAATGTTTTCAAGGATAGAAACCCCAGGAATTTACTGTTGTACTAATCTTCAATTTGATCCCCCACCTCTCAGAAAACAGTTAAAAGTAAGTCATTGATATAAAAATATACAACAAATCTTCTAGATCTCCAGCACCACAGAACCACTTACTTTGTCAGTTAACTTAAGCTCTGGGTCCGTTTTAATTAGCTCCCAGTTTCCGTAGCCATGTTCATAAATCCCCAGCAGTAGACGAGAGTCATCCTCTACTCCCCACTCGACATCAAAATGTGCAGCTTTGACACGACAGGATAAGCAATATCTGAAAAGGTTTCCAAAGCAGGAGCACGTGAGAGGAGAGGCCTTTCTGATTAGGAAATAAACACAAATGAACATAGACAAAGCATTCTAGTACATCAGAGAGAAGACAACGAAAATACTACATGCAACTGTAACTTCAAATCTATTTTCTAATGGCACAACCACCCGTGCGTGAGTACATGTTATACTCACTTTTTTTTTTCTTCAGGGTCCACAGGGATAGATTTATGCAGCATCTCAAACTCTTCTTCATGTTGGATAATAGATTTCACATTAACCTGAACCCCAGATATCTTGATAGTTGGGCCTCTCTTTTTCCCTGGTCCTTTCCCTAAAGAACATCAATTGCATATTTGTTACGTGAGAATTCACTGCTGTTTCACAGAAAATGTAGGTGAACAATCCTAAATGCTCTCTTATTCCCTCAATGTATATCTCTGGTTTACTGTTAATCCAAAGATACAATCAATAAGGCAAAAAATTTTCTCAATTAACGTTTGTAAAATAATCTCTAAACAGTTCGGTTCTTTAAGATTTAGAATTTTTCAGTCCAGCAGTGTTTATAATTGTATTTTAATCTTCCTCTTTGTTTTATACTTTGGCTCTAAAATTAATTAATGAAAGAAGATTTTCAAGGCGTAATAAACACTTAAGATTTTTCTTTTGTTTTTTAACTCACCAATAAATTTTTTTAAGATGAACTGCTTTACTATAAAAGCCTGAGATCAAGTGAATACCTAACACATTTGAAGGGATGAACAAAATAAGTCATGGAGAGGTTGTCCCTAGCTCAGAGTTTCAAATTAAAGTAATTCTAGAGACAAAAACAAAGCAGGTCAGCTCTAACCACAGACTTTCTGACCAGAGTCGAAATCCATGAGATAATGACACTTGTCTGTGAGAGGAAAGAAGCCCTAGGGACGGGAATGAAGGCAAGGTTCTCCCTGTGTCCCTGTTTTACAGTTCTGACTTTGGGTCATGCAAATTGTTCACCTAATTAAAAAACACAAAGTTTCATAAAAACAAGAAAAGTAGTCCCTAGAAACTGAAATGTAAACAAAAGATACTAAACTACATATTATAAGTTGGTGGCATAACCACACAGAGAAAAGAACAACTTCAAACAATTTTAAAACACAGTACTGTGTGTATTGCTAATGCATGTATTTTAAGGACAAAAAGAAATGCAAAGGAATCAGACTTTGCATTGAGAAGTCTTACTGTTAACAGTAACACTGGGGGAATTCCTTGGCAGTCTAATGGTTAGGACTCAAGGCTTTCACTGCCATGGCCCAGGTTCAATCCAGGGAACTAAGACCAAGCAAGCTGAGAAACAGCCAAAACAAACAAACAAAAATCATAACAAAAAAAAACAGTACAACTGGGTATTAATATTAGGAAACATGTGTTAAGACAAATACATGATTATGCTAATATTTCTAGAAACAAAAATTTCTTGGCTTGAGAAAAGAGGTATCAATACTCTGACATTAGAATTGGAAACTGGATTCAGGAATACATTCAGTGCTAGTTTACAGAAAATACAGGTATATGGAAGGGGCTTCCCTGGTGGCGTGTTGGTAAAGAATTTGTCTGCCAATGCAGGAAACCTGGACTCAGGAATACACTCAATGCCAGTTCATAGAAAATACAGGTATATGGAAACATGTTAAGTAATGCCCAGAGGAAGCAATCCATCAAATTCGAATTGTGAATAAGCACAGAGCACGTGTGGGCGAGGGGGCACGTGTCACAAGGAAATATTCCCAGATATGCTGTGAGATGGACAAAGCAAGGTACAACAGTATGCATGCTATATCATCATATTAAAATAGTATCTATTCCTTTTTTGAACACATATATATATTTTTTACATTTCTAGAAAGAGACAAGAAACAGGGATAGTTGTTTTTCATTTTTGAGGCATATGAGTGTAACACTTATTCTAATCAATTACAAGGAAAAAAGAAAAACGCTGTAATGTTAAGGTTTACTTTTGAATGTATTCTGGGTGCTATAAAAGCACAAATTTGGATCACTGTCCATACCAAAGTTAAGTTTTTCTTTCTTTCCTGGGGGAAAAAAACAAAAACGACATCTAAAAATGTTTTTAACTAAATTCAAGGTATTTTAAAATTCTATTACTCTCAGTAATAGTATAAAGAAGAAAATTTCAGAGCACAAATAATGCTCTACTTAGTGAAATAGCTAATACTGCAAGCCAAACATGACGACAAGCACTTCACATGTATGAAATTATTCAAGTGGCCATCCAAGCCCGCTGACTCAGGGCTATGACTCCATTCTGCACGAGACCCTTGAGAGGCTATCACTTGTCTCAGATCTTGCAACTGAGAACCATCAGGGCCAAGATTCCAGGTATACTGGTTGCCTCCTACGTGTCAACCCTTAATCACAGCTGACAGAGCCTCCTGTGATTAACCCCAGTGAAGAGAGACACAAGAATGGAGGCAACTGCACAGATATACCACAGTCCAGGGAACTGAAGTGGTCACACCTTCATCTCTTTGAGGTTCAACTATAAGGGTGTCCTGTAACAACAAGGACTTCAGCTCTCTCCGGACACCTCTGGCTTGTAGAGGACGGGCAAAAGTACTTTTGGTGTGTAAGAGAAAACATGCTATAGGTCAAATTCAATTACAACAAATTCTAGTGCCAAGAAAGTCTCACTCTAACAAAGAGGTTTATAATATTCAGCTGCTGCTTTGTCTATTTGGATTAATTCTCTAAATCCTTTATCACAACAAAACAACACCTGTATGTGCATCCAAGATAATTACTACTGGTGGTCTGTAATGTACTCACTTGGAGCCACAATACAAATGTGCCCAGTCAGGCTTTACTTCCTCAGATCTTTACGTCATTCAAACCACCTTGAACTTTCTACAGTAACATTAAAAAAAATCATTCCGTTTGTTCAGTGCTCTGCACCCTGGGCAAATGAACTTCGTTTGGGAGTAAATCTTTGGGATCTAACAAATGAGCTCACATAAAGGCAGGTGAGAATACACACCTCAAAAAATGAGGGAAGCAACAGGATACAAGTGTGAAGAAAGAAAGAAGAGAAGAGACCCCTGAGCAGCAGAGATCCCAATCCAGGTCTTTGAGCATCACTGAGGCAGACTTGCTGACTTACCCTCGCTGGCATTTTCTTTCAGCTGCTCTTCATATTCCTGCATTGCTGACACACAGCTGTTGTGAATCAGTTCCCCCAAGCGCTTCAGATCCGCCACAGACTTATCTACCAGCTCAGCATCACGTGCTATGCACTCCAGCCTGAGGAAAGATAAACACCAGGACACACCTCAGGGCCCTGTGCCCATGTAACCTACCGCTTGGTTTTGCATAAGCTTGCTCCTGCAAAGACACTTTTCTCTTCACTCCTCAATTGACTGTGTCAAGGCTCCAAAAAGAACGCTCCAGCAGTGACTATGACTAGCTTACTTTCCGTCATAAAGAATTTGACTTGGGAGAGTCCACAAAAACAGACTAATTCAGAAAACAGGGGAAAGGGTTCAGCTTTCTTTATTAACTAAATGGGCTGTCGGGTGAAGTGGCCAGAAGCTATTAGCACTAGTTTGCTTCTTTGTGCTCACTTTCCGTTCTCCAGCCTACTTCCATTCACTTCAGTGTTCCTAGAAGCAAAGTTCAGTTACATCTGCAACACATTTTGTTGATCTCCAAGTCATATGGAGCATGCCATGTCTAAAAATCAGACTGTCAAAAGATGCCAGACCTTAAAAATGGAAAATAGAACCAAAAAAAGACACTGCTACATAATAGAAGGGAAAAAGAAGTGGATAAGAAACTGTTGTGTTACTAAACTTACCGTTCAAGAGGGAGACCAAACTTCTTATACGCCTTGATGAACCTAGGAAAATGATTAATAAATCACATTTAAAAATCAGACTTCAGCTATGCTGGTGCAAACACATCCTGTGATGAAATATGAGCCATAAAAACGGTCAAAACATAAAAATGGTCAAAAAGAGATTTTGCCCAATCCTTGCAACTGCCACTAAACGAATGAGTATCGAATGCCTTTGAAAATAGCCAACTGAAAATGAGTGCTAAAAAGCTTTTCAAACCAAAAATCAACTTTATTCCCAGTGACTGGTCATGAAACTGCTTAGGGATGTAACTGAGTATGGTGGCTTAACTCTAATAATATCATTTTTAGAAGATACAAGTTTACAGGTAATAGGTAATAAATGATTTAATAACTAAAACTCTTATGACAAAATCCAATATAGTTTTACAGGTCTATTCAGTCCACTGCTATTACTTTCAATTACATACTACAATATTTTCCATTATGTTCTGGTCATTAATACAACTAGAAGAGTTTTAGGACTGCCTCAAGTACTTTTTGTAATGAGGCAAAGTAAAATAAATTTATGATTTTAAACTTTTTAGGCAAAACTATTTTGGAAACTCTGACTCCTGTCAAATGGTGTCTCTGACCTAAAACCTAATCATCCTTCCACAAGTCTCTAGTCTAAACTATGCTAAATGCCAATATATGTGTAATCTGTTCCCCTCCCTAGAGCCAACCACTAGCACTTTCACTAAAAAAGCAAGATTCACAATATATGAAGGGCATCACTGTAAAATGCCAAATTATCTGGTTAGGTAACAGTGAAAGAAGAGATACCATGGAGAAAAAAATGAAAAGAGAAGGCACGGCAATTCTTAAAAACGGTGATGAATATGACAGTAGCTATGAAACAATATTAAAGGAATAGCATGGACACAAGGATTAGGAAAGTACTATATGTGAAAGCACGCCTGAGGGTTATTCCTCAACTCTACATTTCTTTTTCTTGACATATACTGAAATATTTTACATCTGAAATAATATGCCCTTTCAGCTTACTTCAAAATAATAGTGAGACAGAGAAGCATTCTAGGAATGATGGGATAATAAGGACCTCTGAAAATCTGCTCCTTCACAAAAGCAACAAGAACACTGGCAAAAACTGTCCAAGTCAATTTTGTTGGAATGCTGGAAATTAATCAAAGGCTTGCAGCTAACTTATAAGCATATATTCAAGAAAACAGCTGAATCTCAGTATGAATGGTGAGCTCTGCCATTCTGACTTGCTCTGTTTCCCATGCCCTCTCCCCAGCACCAAGACTGCCTTGAAAACCACTTTCCCAGCTACAGCAGCTGCACAAACACAGTGGCCATTACAGGGAGCAGAACGGGCCTGGCACTCTGCAGAAGCCCCTTCCCCAGAGAACAGTGCCGGCCTGACCCACGGCACCCTGAGAGACTCCATTCTCAGGCTCGTCTTCATTTGACTCGGGTCTTTGTGAAGACACTGTCCATAGTTCATCAGTCAAAAATCAATCAGAGACAAAGGTTCAACACCATGGCTGCCTGAAGCAGCACTGTAAGCTGGGGATGAACAAGCTGATCAAAAACTGTGATGGAAAAACAAGGGTGAAAAGATGTTCACAGGTGTCTTTGAAAAGCTAAGGCATATTCCCGGGAATCTAGAAGGCTGCCCATGTGTAGGGCTGTGTGCTGGCACAGTGAAGGCAGGAGAAGTTGTTCATCTCTCAGCTCTGACCAGTCTTCAGGCTCCACACAAACAGGAGCTGAACAATAAGGCAAAGTCGTAAACTGCCCGCCAGAGCACTGAACACACGCCTCAACATCCACAAGGGGTCCTTCAGCAAAGGCTGGAGATTTACTGTTTGGTAGACTTAAGGTGCTTAGGAAAGTCTCTGCCCAATCATTAGCTGAGCTCTAAGCTAAATGAGTGGAGACTTCACAGGACTAGTCCAGAAAAGTTACCAAATAGGCAAACAACGACAATAACAAACAGCAAACACAAAAAACTCTGGCTGGCAGAGGGATTTTGATGTCCAGACTAGCCACATTTTACTATCTAAAATGTCCAGTTTTCAACAAAAAGTTATAGGAAACAAGAAAGTATAATCTATATACAGGGAAAGAAGTCAGTTTTCAATGGAAATAGTCTCTAGGAAATCCAAAAGTTGAACTTAATAGACAAAGGATTTAATCAACTATTGTAAATATATACAAGAACTAAAGGAATCCATGTCTGAAGAATTTAATGAAAATTTGAGAATGATGTATTCACTAAATGGAGAATATTAGCAGAGATGGAAATTATATAAAGGAGTCACATATAAATTGGAGTTGAAAACTGCAATAACTAAGATGAAAAAAATCACAGGAGTAGATGTGAACTGAGAGAAGAAAAACATCAGCGAAAAGGTAACTCAACTGAGACTATCCAATGTGAAAGAGAGAAAAAATAAAGACTATCCTTCAAAAACAAAGGAGAAATTAAGACATTCCCAAATAAATAAAGATACAACTTGTTGCTACAGACCTGCCCTAAAAGAAATACTAAAGAAGGGTACTTTGGGCAGAAATGAAAAGACATGAAACAATAACTCAAATCCACATGAAAAAACAAGAACCTCAGGAGGATACCTAAGTAAAAAACACAGTGTATATGTATTTTTTTCAGTAACTCTTTACTTCTCCTGAATGATTTTTAAACCTGTACAATAAAAGCACAAAAAGGGAGAAGGAATGTACCTAAACTGGAGTAAAGTTTTAGAATACCACTGAAATTAAGTTGGTATTAGTCCAAAATAAATTGTTCTAAGTTAAAATATTAATTATTATCTCCAGAGAACCCACTAAGAAAATAAGTTTTAAAATGTAAAAAAGAAAAATAAATAAATAAATAAATAAAATGTAAAAAAGAAAATTAAAATACTATACTAAAACTCATGCAATACAGAAGAATGCAGTAATGGGGGAAATAATGAAACAAAAAAGACACAAGACATAAAAAACAAACAGAAAAAATGCAGACATAAATTCTATTTTATCAGTAATTGCATTAAATATAAATGGTTTAAAGATTTCAACCAAAACAAAGAAATCAATAGAATGAATTTTAAAAAATCATTTAACTAAATACAGCCTATAAGAGTTGCAAGTTAAGATTCAAAGACATAAGTAGATTGCAATAAAAAAGGAAAAAGATACGACACATACAATATCAAAAGAGTTAGAGTATCTACATGAGTATTGAACCAAGATATAAACTTTAAGACATAAACGGCTGCTAGAGACAGAGGACATTTTATAATGAGAAAAGGGCCAGTCCATCAACACAACATATTATCAAGTATACACACCTAACAGCAGAGGGCCAAAATATAGGACGCAATAGCTGACAAAATAGGAGAAATAAACAATACAGCAATAATAGAGATGTCAACACCCCATTTCCAATAATGAATACAACAATCAGGCAGAAGATCAAAGAAAACAGAAGATCTGAACAGCAGTAAACCACACAGACCGAATAAACACCTTTTGCACATCCCACTCAACCTCAGCGCAAGTATAGTCTTCTCTGTGCAACACTAGAGGTAGGGGGCAGGAGAAGCAGGGCCACACACAAGGCAGACTGCCGATTCATAATGGTTAAGAGAATACCCAGGGGAAAGGGTGCTGATATTTTATCAGTGTTTGTATGTATTTACATTTTTCCATAAGAAAGAAAGAAAGAAGAAAAGAACAGGTATAAGATTTAGTGGGAAACAATGACCTCATGGCTTCAAATGCTGACCTAAAAGGACTACGTGATATAGTTAAATTAATAATATGGATTAGATCATAAAGCTAGCTATCTTCAGAGTTTCTACTTTCTTCACCTGTTTAAAAAGATAACATATAAACTAGGGGGAAATGGTTTGAAAGCAACAATTTTAGATTTTTCTGGAGGGCAGAGGGATGTGAATCAGACACCAACAAATGTGTAGAAAGTACTGACAGAGAAAGATGCCTAAAACTGACAGAAAGTGACAAGAAGCAAGCTGACGAACAATATGCTGTGTATAACAATGTGCTGTATGTATTAGCAAACCAAACTGACACCAGTATTAACACTAACAGAAAGCAAACTGGGGTTATCTGTACTCTAATTTTTTGTATTATACCATTTCTTCTATATACATTGTTAAATATGTATGCATGTATGTACTCAAATTCTTCAATAAAAACAAAAAAAAGTTCCAGCCCAAGGTGGCCGCCAACAGCCTCTTTACTCTTGGCTGGACTTTCTTCATCATGAAATGTTCAGAGCAGATAACAAGTAGTAAACAAAGAGCTCAGCTGAGGAAAAGCCTGGACTCCAGTCTCCCTGCCGTCCTCCGCCCTCCTTGTCACCCAGGCCAGCGATGTACAGCATGCCCGCCCAAATGTGAGGGGAGAGAGAGCAGGGCCTCCACCAACCTCCGGATCTCAGCGTCCGTGAATCCCTCCACCAGGTCCTTCCGCACACTTCGGGGACGCCCTCTGCGCTTGGGCTTCTTGTCGTCATCAGAGTCGTCCGTCTCACTCTCAGAGGCAGAGGACCTCTGGGCCTGTCTCTTAGACTCAGTGTCAGAGTCACTGTCATTTGTCTGAGCCTGAAAATGCAAAGTTACACTGTCCGAGTGATCTAAGGACTAAGACCAGCCCATCTTAACTCCTTAAAGCTCAGAACTTCCTACTGTATCAGGCAAGTCAAACTGCCTTTAAGAAAGAGGGAGGCAGATAGCATGTGATGAAAGAAGATCTGCTTGGGGTATTCACACTGCCAGAGACAGACTGTCTCCGGTCATCATTAAGTACATACTGTCTCTGGTCATCTAGTCACCATTAAGTACCCTGGAATAAAAATATTTGGATTGTAGGTTCATGCTTACTTTCTTGGGCAAATTACCTCTCCACGCCTTTGTTTTTCCATTTGTAAAATGGGGATAATAGCATCTATAATACAGGGTTTTCATATGAATTAAATGAGTCAGTTAGTGTAAAAGCACTGACTTATGCCTGATACACTGTGAATACTCAATAACGACTACTATTAGCTAATATTGATTTACCAGGATCTTAGGCAGACCTGAGTGTGCTATCACCAACAAACTGAGTAATAAAAACATAGTTTATCTATTTCTATGTTCTTGCAAAAATCAAATTAGATAGTGCCTCTCATGGTGCTTTGTAACTGAAGCACCTTTAAAAAATCTCTAAGTATTTATACTAAGTGCTATGAACGAACATTTACAGACAAAGAGACGTTTGACTCTGAAAGCTGAAGGCCTTGCCGATCAGAACCAAACTGTCAGAATTACTACTTCTAGTGTCAGGTGCAAAATGCAGCCTTCTGTCAAACTCAAATTCTGTTCAGCCATATCATAAAGGGCCAAGATGCAGAGATGGAACGTCTCCCAGGTATGCACCTGGGCCCTGTGCACGTGTACACTTCCCTCTGCTAAGTTTCCAAAACTCTGCCCTGGAACCCCCTGTGCACGTGTACACTTCCCTCTGCTAAGTTTCCAAAACTCTGCCCTGGAACCAACCCTCCATGCCAGATCTCGTTCACTAGATCACCTTTTTAGTGGAACTCCGAATTCGAGGCAACATGTAAATCTCTTCCAGCTCCTTCTGCCGCTCTTCCTCCTCCACTTTCTTCCTCTGCTCCTCAGGGATGATCTCATCCCAGTCCTTGTGAGGGCGCTCGTCAAGCTCTTCTTCATCCTCCATCGTTGCGAAGTTGGCAACCTTACAACAAAAGGACTTCAGTCTGACCGACATTTCACTACTTCCCAAACACCAACTACTGAAATGCCAACTCATGCAGTGCTTTGAATCTAAAATGCTATGAATGATAATAGGACTCCTATGATATTACATAATCAAAAAAAATCAGTTTTCTACTAATTTCTCCCTTATCCCCTCAACAAAATCTACTTGCGAAGTTCTAAAGTTCATCAGGCAATTTTACTTTAGAATAAAGAAAGATAAAAAGATACAAACTGTCTTATGTTTTATTAAAAGATGTGCTATTAAATCATACACATTTTCTAATATATTAACTTTTAGATTTATTTAGATGATAATAATTGCAGGGAATTCCATGGTGGTCCAGTGGTCTGCAGCGGACACAGGTTTGATCGCTGGTCAGGGAACTAAGATCCCACATGCTGTGTTGTATGGCCAAAAACAAAGTAAAAATAGATCATAACATCCGAATCCCTAATGTTAGCCCAGTGTCGACTGACAGGCCTGTACACGGTAAACTGCTACTGAATAGAGCTCATCGGAAACAAAGAGTAACTCAAAGCAGTAGCTACTATCTAGTCAACTGGTTACCTTATTCACTTTTATTAAAAGTATAGAAGCTCAAGGTATTTCATAATTTCACATGCTTGAAACTGTACTTTAGTCTCAGGAATAAAAACAAAAACATAAAATGCAAAAACTTCAAGCAAATTTGGAAGAATATTCCATTTACTTCATGTTGTGGTCTGGTCACTAAGTCATGTCCAACTCTTGTGACCCCACGGACTGTAGACCGCCAGGCTCCTCTGTCCATGGGATTTTTCAGGCAAAAATACTGGAGCGGGTTGCCATTTCCTTCTCCAGGGGATATTCCCGACCAAGGGATCAAATCCCAGTCTTCTAAACTGCAGTCAGATTTTTTACCAACTGAGCTATCAGGAAAGCCTGATATCAGATATTTAATATCTATTTATATAGACATAATATGTATTCCAAAAAGACAGGCATCTGCATGTATGAGTCTGAAAGTCTTAGACTATGGCTACAGAGAAATATCTACCAACTCTGGCCACTTCTGAGCAGTGGTGGGCAGGCCCCAGGCCTGGACTAAAGTTAAAGAGCTTTAGGAAGTTCCATTCCTCAAAATAATGTAAGAGCTGACACTGAAATCAGAACTTTCAGGCAAAATTAACTCTAACTTCCAACATGGATACCATGTCTTCACAATCAGAATTTTAATATTCCAGGACAAAATCAGAGGTGTGTAATTCTTGAGATTTAAAATTTAACATTTTTCTGTTCCATAAAACAAATTATCTGACTGACCTCTCAAGTTACACACTATTTGTAACTACTTTAGATCTCACTTTTAAAATGGTATCAGTTGATACAAATACCAATACTACACATACATCAATGGCTCATGCAGTTGGGAATTTAACTTCCCCACAAGTGGTGCAGCAGCCCAGGGCCAGACTCCCTGTCTAAGGAATGGCAACCACTCCAAATGTGTGCCTTTAGGGAGTCTACTCAGCCTCCGTGTTTCTCAGCTTCCTCATCTATAAATGATGGTGAGAGTGACTTCAACATAACATTGTTGTAACAACTGAAAGACTGATATACAGAATGCACTTAAAACAGTGCTTAAAGTGTAGCATGAATTTTCTAAGAATTGGTTATTATTACTTAAGAAATATGTAGTCATAAATATCTTTAAAAAATGTTTGTTATGTTTCCAACATGTTAAATTAGGTTAACAAAAAAGAATTTTTAGGAAAAGAAAGTCAATTCAGTGATGCGCTGCAGACATACAGAGTCCCTACCTTAAGCAGAATCCTACCTAACTAGATGCTGAAACATAATGGCCAAAAGGGCTTTAGAAAGACAAGTGTCACCAGTCATCTGGCTTCTGATCAATCTGTAATATGCAGAAATTTTTCAGACCTAAATAATCATATAATATTTTGACTAGGACACCGTCATGAAGATTACTTCTGTTTAAGAAGGGAGCATTAGTCACAGAAGTGAAATCCAGTTGAAACGCTAACAATTCACCTCCATCTTCTGCATCCTTAAGACACATTATCTCTGATCCTAGCGTTCTGTGATCCACTCAACCCCTTTCTTTTTCTTCCACTGAGACAACTTCTACCTGTGGCCAACCCTGGACTTCATCACAAAGTACTGCTTCCTCCCAAACACTTCTTTCTCAGTCCTAGTGGGTCTACCACACAAAATCATCCATGTAACCTCTTACCCTCATCCCTAACATGCACAGAACCAACCAATGATGAATCCACTCAACCACATTCTCACTTGAATCTGGGCAACTTTTTGCCACTTTGATGACTCTTCTGTGCCTCCTAAGCCAATCCTCCACACCTTGGAATGAACAACTGATCCAGTTTTTCTGACCTCAAGTAATGCTGGAGAGTCATCTGATCCTGCTGACTTGCTCTAACATGAAGCCCCACCTTCTAAATTCAGCTCTAGTCCCTATCAAGTTCTCCCAGCAACTCCTGGCCCCTGGATGGAGCCATCCCAAAACTGCTCCACTTCTCAGTAAACACCTCACTTACTGGTAAGTAAGGTCACCAACTGGAGCTTCTATATCATCTCTCCCCTCTCCTTCCCCAAGTGGATTCTTCTTTTGTCTTTCAAAGGCCAGTTCTTCCATCTGTGCTTTTGATTATATCCCTTCCAGTCTCCTCCTGGGCAATGTGCAACCAAACTGTCCTTCTTTCCTTAGAACCTTCAAAGTGTTCCTATTCTCAAGCTCTTTCCTCAACCTAGAAACATGGTAACACCTTTCAAAAGCCTTACCTTGCCTGACCCTTTCATCCTTATAAATTACTTTCACTGTTTTCCTTACTAAGCTTTTTAATAAAGTCTATACTCAATGCGGTCACCTGCTACTCATCCGGTATCCAGCTTTTGCATTTAGTCCTGAACTCATTTAATTTTCTATCAAATACCACCAACCATCCCACAACTTCCCGAATGCCACGAAGTCAGCAGGAACTTCCCCACTGTCACCTTCTACTTTCATACCTCTGACCTCTCTTTGTCATGATTCTACTAATGTCTCTCCCAGAGCTCCACATTATCTAGTTCTCCACCTGTCCCACTGACGGTGTATTTGCAGCCTTTTTCACACCAACTATTTCTCTTCTATCCACCAACTCTGGGCAAGATGGACCACTTCAGTGGTTACCCCCATGGGAAGGACTGTACAGTCTATATTTACACCATTCTTGGAACTCTAGAGAATGATTGTAAGGGATATGAATCAACTTAGGTAAAAAGAAAAGCACAGAGTGTCTTGCACTGACAGAGTACTGACAGGCATTACTTATTCTTGGTTCACAAATCAATGCCAAGGACTTTCTCAGACAATGATTTTATTTTATTTATTTATTTTTTTTTCAGACAATGATTTTAATACCTTAAATTGTGACAGAAGTTCATCTGTTGCACTTGTTGAGACTTCATTCTCTCTGGTTTCAGCCAAGCGCAAAATTTCATCTATATCCATTTCCTAAAAGAACATGGTAAAAAGGCAACAGTGGTTAGCATTGACTGAGAGTACCGGTGCAAACAAACCAACTCTCTTCTCTGATACTCCATTTTCTTTTACACTCAGTTTTTATAATGTTTTATATCCAACATTTCAAACTACTATTTATACAAATCATAAGATGAAACTTCAGAAATTACAAGAAATAAAATTGGAATAAAAAAGAGCAAAGACAAAATCCTCAATACTTTTCTCATTCTTTCCTAGTCAATTTTGTAAGTGCTTTCAGCTGTATAAGAAAAAAGAGAAACTATGTTCTGCAAGTAACTACTCTTTCTTTAGAAAAGTCTCAGGCTCAGAATGTGCTTCCAGAAAAATTTATAGACTCTCACAGATGATACTTATCAAGAAAATTTTTCCCCTTATTGTTAATTACCTGAGGCTCTGATTCCTCCCCTTCAAGTTCTTTGAAGAGATCCTCTGCTCCAAATTTCAAAATCGCTGTCAGCTCTTCTTTATTAAAAGGGTTTGAACTGTAGAAGTAAAATGAAGTTGTAATCTCTCAGGGATGTCAAATAACCTCCATTGAGTTCTAAATAGCTATTCTTCCTAAAGAGGTCCAACTATTGGTGAAAATAGAAATTCTGCCACAAGAAAAATGATCTCACAAATATTTCATGGTTTTTAATCCACAGGATGAGTCTGCAGTGGTAAACCTAACTTACCAAAACACTAAGACAAATTATTTTCCTGTTGGTTCATCTATTTACATGGGTAAGCAAGAAAGAAAATAAGCAACATGAAAGAAGGGAATTCTCTCTTCATCCTTTGATTCAGAAAGTTATTGTTCACCAAGAATTTTCAAACACCTCCTCTGGTCCAGAATAAAAGAACAAGCTTTTTCTGTCTAGTTTTCTTTTTAGTGGAAAATCATCATCACCTAAAAGGGCTCGTTTGATTTAACCTGTAACACAAACTGTAAGACAGCCACAGAAGATGCTCAACAATTTGGTCAAAACATAAACTCTCTTAGAGAAATAGTTGTGCTTCCAAATAAAGCCAGTTGAAACTTAAAACTATTTTCCTGTCTTTTGTTTTCAATAGGAAAGGCAATCTCCACACAAACATTTTTAACAATAGTAAGAAACGGCCGCCAATTCAACCTGCTGCAGCCTCGCTGCTGCAAAGTCCAAGGCAATACTGTGCCAGGCAGAAAGCCTGATGGCAAGCACACAGCTGCCACTGCTGCTGCTGTGTCGTACGGCACAGGCAGAGCCAAAAGCAAGAGGCTGGAGAGGAGGGCAGAAAGGACAAGAAGGCACATGAGGAGGGCTGACACGCCAAAAAATAGAAAAGAAAAGAGGAAGGAGAAACTGGGAAAGCAAAATAAAATGAAAATGTCATCTTGCAGTTTTGGCTTGGTCCTTTCCAAGTAATCAACGGATTAATGTCTGTTGTAGAGCATCTCATGAGAAGAATGAATGTATTACACGAAATGATGATGTAAAATTGACTTCTGCTACCTCTCCCACCTTTCTGGCACTTACTTGGACCTTCCAGAGTTGTTTTCCAGAACCGTTCGGCCAGTGGTATCCATGCGCTGAATCACCAGATGGTCCAATACCATCTTCTTTTTGGCCCGTTCTATGATCTCTTCCTCCACGGTCCCCTTTGTAACCAAGCGGTAAATATTCACCTGTAAGAAAAGGCAATGTTATGCTTATGCCTGTTCATACACATAAAGTTACTTCTGTCTAAAACCAAGAAGGGAAATTAAAAAAAAAAAATCTGTTCTCTACTATGGCATACTACTTATAAGTCATCGATCCAAGCAGACAACTTAAGCATTAATAGATATAATATATTCTACTATGGTCAGCATGTTACATTCTTAAATAAAAATTGCTTCTAAGAACTATTATTATAGCCTTGACCTAACGATAAAAATGCTGCTGAAGAATTATCTGTTTCACTGAAACTGAATCTCCAACCACATGTGAAACTTAAAGGCAGCTAATATTGGAACAGACTTTGAAATTTATCCTTGAAGGAAACAAGTGTGTACTTTTGCAGCATACAACAGCACTAACATTGAACATGTGTAATAAAAGTAGACTGTCCCGAACAATTGAATACAACAACTTTTCTATACTAAAATAGAGAGAAATTTTTTTCTAAGTCTGTTCATCATGTACCTTTGAGTAAGCCAGAAAGTTACTGGTCATACGCTTTACAGATGGTGAGAAAGTAACTGTTCCATAACTACAGACTCATCTCACCTCAGCCCTAAAGACAGCTTCTCTCTACTAGCTAATTAACAAATAGATATCTACCCATAGACAACGACCTCCCCTCCAAGACACATCCAAAGGCTTCTCCACTAACCTGCTTCTTCTGACCAATTCTGTGGGCTCGGGCTTGTGCCTGCAAGTCGTTCTGGGGATTCCAGTCAGAGTCGAAGATGACAACTGTGTCCGCGGAAGCCAAATTGATTCCCAGGCCACCAGCCCTTGTCGAGAGCAGGAAACAGAAGTCCTGTACACAATGCAATATACTACTTTATGCAGTGGCCTTCTCAGAAACAGTTTCACAGTCCAATAAGCCCTTATACCTGGAAACCCCTGCAGGTGTGAAGAAAAGTGAGATATGATGGACAAACTTTATGGAGGCTAAAAGAATGTCAGGGACTTGATGGCAGAGTGAATTTTCATTTGATTAAGAGGTAAGAGTTGGTGCAATGAGCTAAGGGAGTAAAGGAGAAATGGATAAGGCAACAGGAGCAAAAGAATTAATGGTCTTGCCCAACTAAAACTAGTATACAAGCAGTTAACAGAAACCAGACAAACTTAGTTATCAACGGATCACTTCAGTAAGTTGCCTACATACTTATTTCCTGGGTAAAGGAGAGTTATGCCATGTAAGGCAGGAAGGCCATATAAGCAAGGAAACTTTATTGAGCAAATGTCCTTTCATTTATAAGGCTGCTGAGGAATACAGAAACACTGTACTAACAGGTGACGTGACGGAACCACTGGGTAGCGCAGGACCCTCAGTCACCATGGGACATGCACGAGAAAACCAGAGCAGGACCGGCTGAAGAGCTGTGTGCGGGGAGGGCCCCGGCCCTGACAGTCCCGTGTCCATAGCAACGGCATACCAGAGACTGGGCAGGCACCCTACACCTGTCTGCATCTCGTGAAAGTGGCACTCACACACTGGCAGTTCTGAGTTATCTTTTGATAAATGGCTGTATTTAATACATATACATAAATGCAATGAAAGGGTCTCCCCAGTCTAAGTAACAGTCATTCACCAACACTGTCACAGAACTAAAAATAGAGAGAGCTATCTCACAAGAACTTTAAATAGTTCCAATAAAGAACTGATCACCAGGGGTGCTGAAGCACTGAGTCTGTGATCCTTGACAGAAATACCCAGCAGTTCCACACCCTAGAGCGAAGCCCACAGGTAAACATTGAGAATAAGACATCTAAAACATGAAGGAAACCGGAGCTCTGAATGATCATAAGATTATTTTCAGTGTCACTCTTTATCAAAGGTAGTATGAATTACATTAAGATACTAGTTATGTCTATTACCAAATAGGGAAAGGTTAAAAATTATGAAACTGAAGGGTGAGGTAAAACAGAAGTATTCATACATAAAAGTATGAACATAGGGACTTCCCTGGTGGTCCAGTGGCTAAGACTCCGTGCTCCTAACGCACGGGGCCTGGGTTCAATCCCTGGTCAGGGAACTAGATCCCACATGCCTCAGCTAGGACTAGGCACAACCAAATAAATACATTTTTTAAAAAAGTATGAATATACATTGTTTGGAAAAAGTGATTCGGCAAAAGGCACTAAAAACCTTTTTTACATGTTCACATCCTCTTAACTAAACATCTGACAACAATAAAGTGGTTAAATAAATGAGGGAACAGGCATGAGAAAACATTAGAAACCATGATTTTTTTAAATCTTTAATGATATGGAGAAAATGCTTAAAGTAGAATTTGGAATGAAAGGTGACAACAAGACTATATGCAGCATGATTCCAACTGGGGCAAACATATAAAGAAATAAACGGTTTCCTCTCGGATGAATGAAATGGACCCAAATGATATGAATAGCAAGCTGGAATGGGAGTTTGTACAGCTTTTCTTCTTGTACTCTTCACCAACTTGCAAAATTTCTAAATGTGCATATAATACTTTCCGCCAGTAATAAAGTACATAAATTTTTTAATTAATTTAAGAAAGACTCAGATTTGCAGAAAATGGTAGAGAAACCATTTTCACCATCTAGCCATGGGGTAGGGGGACGAGTGGAGAACTATGAAGAAACCGACTTTAGTTTTTTCTGACACAGGGTAGTCTAAGACATTTAACTCATACTGAGTTTTAAACTAAAAGTAAGGCACAAAAAACCAATCTCAACACATTCTGAATAAAAATAGCTGACACTGATGGCATGCTTGCTCAGGGCTGTGTGCTAATTGTTACACTGAAGTCGTCACTGCAGCAGGGTTATGAAGCAGGGAGTGAAATCATGCTTTTATAGGTGAGGAAATAGGAGGAGGGAAAGGAGGAATGGGAATTAGATGGTTATTAATATTTTTAAATAATTCAATTCCTCTTGTCCTTGACTATTCAGAGCCTTGGTTCTGAAGAGATTAGTGTTTAAAACTCCTCAAGGAAAACTAAAATTTTAGGCTAGAGAAGAAGCCAGAATACCACAGTCTAATTGAGCCTGTGTGCAATTCGAGGGGCAGGAATCCTGCCACTCTAGAGTGGCAGACACAGTGCTTAAAGCTCATGAGAAAACAGAGCGAAGTCCAGTCTTTCTACACAGAAGAGCCGCCCGGACTTCAGAGGCACCCAGGCTCTCTCTCTCCACAGACTGCTTAGTCCCACCTCCAGCACTCTCCTTGGCTTCCTCTCCTCCTCACACCGCTACAGCCCTCCACACTAAACCTTTTCTCCCTCCTTCTCTCAAACCCCACGGTATTTAACAGCTTGACAGGCACACATTACAAGGCTACACAGCTTCTGGCTTGTCCTGAGGGCTCTTCCACACGTGCCTTAAAAACAAAATACTTTATACTGCTAAATTCAAGCTGAACACCTAACAGATGAACCAATGCTGCTATCAGTCCAAGCAGGGGAATTAAGCCACATCCCTACCAAGGTCCAACAAATTTGGGACACAACAAACATACTTTTCAAGACTCAAGTCACCAAGAGTACAGGTGAGAACCTTCTGAAGTAGCACACATGTCAAGGTTAATCCTACTGGTCAGCTCTCCGCAACCTGGCCTTGTTTTTCTTCTAGGTCCAGAAATTTGCATCTGGGAGCACCACAGAGCACTCTTATTAATCCAGCCCAAGGAAGAGAAACAAGCATGTATATGCTTTTCTGGGCTGACAAACAACCAAGTTAAGAGGCACCTTTTACATCAGTGATTTCTCTTATCAGGTAGGACAGCTGCACTGTGAACTGTTTCTGAAACAGTACATTCATTGAGAAAGGCTTTCCCCCTTGATACAGAGCCCAGACTGCCCAAATAATAAGGTAAGCCATGCATGCTGTACCTCAGACCCATCTGCGTTGAAGTGGTCCAGCGCCTGTTTTCGGATTTCTCCCTTGATGGAACCATCCAGACGCTGTAAAAATAAACCACGAGAAAATCATAAGGTAGGAAAATCAGCTGCACTCAAAATAGAACAGAAGACTTGAAACCTTCCTCACTCCAACACCCTCTGAGTAAAAATAACCAAAACACACTGGCCAAGTGCCGTCCAGGGCCTCTGCTTGAGCAGCACACCCAGCATGCCCCAAGCTCTCCGGTTACACACTCAAGCTCAGAAGCTTCTGGTTCTAAGGGACACCTACGTTCACCCAAGGATCAGTATGGCTGCCAGGACATAAGGAGAAAGACAGCAACCGAGCTGTGCTTAGAGGCTCTGCCTGATTTTCCGTCTGTGGGTACTCAAGAGACTAGGAAATACTACCACTTGTCCCCTCCTGCGGAATCAGCTCCTGCGGAAAAGTGATGCTCCTGAGCTAATATGGCCGAAAGTTGCCCTGTTATTAACTGCTATATACACCAAAAAATCCTTTACATAATTTTGTTTGGAAGATATCTTCCCACAATATTGAAAACATTAAGCTGGTCATACCCAGCTTTTCCAAAAACTAAAGCAGCCAAAACGTATCCTCAGGAGAGCCCCTGGCGTTTCCCAGCACGTACAGTTCTTACAGTAGACTGTATGTCAACTCTAGGTCCAAAACAAAGTCACCGTGGAGATAGCATATAATATGCAGATACTGAAGAACTACTACCTGTACGCTGTGTAGAAAGCATTTCTCACTCTTTAAAACCATTTTCACATTGCTGCCCCTTCATCACCACTCGAGACAAAGTACCTTATTTTACAGAAGGCAAAACTGACCAGACAGATGTTGTCCACTAGCCAGTGACCAGTGAGGGGGTGGGGCGGGGTCTGGAAGGACACACAGCTCAGCGCTCTGCCCGCCAAACCCAGAGCCACCTGGACATGGCAGAATCACACATGGGGACCCTCCTTCTCCTTTCTGACTACGTGCTCTACGTGAGAGCCCTGACCCAAAGGTAAGTTTTGAAATCAGAAAACCCAAACGCCCTCTTTTCAGTATTCTCACTAAGCGAAGGCATTAGGCATGATGACCTGAGCAGACACCAGACTCCTCATTCCCTAGAGAAAAAAGTAACATGCTCTGATTTCACTTGATGCCAAATGATGAGCCAGACCTGAAAGCACCCAGGGAACAGATGTACTCAAAGATCACTGACTCTCCCTACTGTGCTATTTCTGATAATAACCACAGTATTTAACTATATTCTAAGACAGCTACTCCAAGACCACAACAGGTATTATGGATATAACTAGGCCTTTTAGCATATTATGAAAGATAATCTGCTACTGAGTTTTAAAGCTTGGTCTTCTTAGAATCACTAGCTTCAAGTATCTTCAGTATCAGCCTAACTGCATTAGTCCATCCAAAACTATAGAAAAAACTTATTTAATAATTAAAAATCATGCCTTAAATGTCTTAAAAATCAAAGCATTAAAAAATATTAGGCCAAATAGGATGGGGAACACATATACATACACCCATGGCTGATTCATGTCAGTGTATGGCAGAAACCACTACAATGTTGTAAAGTAATTAGCCTCCAACTAAAATAAATAAAATTAAAAAAAAAAAAAAAGGACAATTCCTTCTCAAATGAAATGTATCATGCTGAGGATTTTGTTTGTTTGTTTGACTAAAAGAATAGTTATGACCTGTACCATTCCTATGGGAGAAAAAAACTCCTCTTGGCAATCACAGCTGCGTGTAAGTTTATAACAGAGGAAAATTTGTGACCACTGTTTTTCAGTTTTGTGATCATCATTCCTTTGTACATCACTACCTTATGCTCTTCTTGATAATCCAAATATGCTTTTTGTTATCACTGATCACAGGTATTTTCTATTCATTAGGATCTTGTTCTGCTACATAATTTCTGTCCACCATAGTCACTAGCAACAACTGATAATGTGTGTTTCTCCAGAATTGAAAAAAAAATAATAATAAAAAATGTTAGGCCAAATAAATTGCACACATGCCTATACAGAGATTACAGATAAGTTTTTGTTTTTTTATTGTCTAACAGGCAGAAAAACATTATGCTAAAGAAACTCCTTCTTCCCTCTTATTTTTCTCCTAATCTTACTGGAGATTAATGAATGAAGATGAAAACCCTTAATTTTACAAAAGTAAAATTAAGACCCTCCTGGAACCTTAATCTCAATTTGTTTCAAACAAGAGAACTCTTTGTTTTCTACTTGAGGATAACTTAACAAGCAAAGCATACAACCTAGAAGAGAGGGAGGGACAGAGGAAGGGAGAGACCCTAAGTACTGAGCACCCTTACCTGGAAAGGGTAGTGCTTAATAGTGAGGTACTCAGCCAGGATATCCAACATCCTCACCATCTGAGAGAAGATAAGGACTCTGTTTCCTCTTTCTCGAAGTCTTGTCAACAGTTTATCTAATAGAATCAACTTCCCACTGCTCCTGATCAGGGACTGAAAAATTAAAAGACATGATCATGATCAAAAGGATACTTCAATCTGCCCTTTACCTCTAAGAGTTCATATTTTTAAAATCATCTTTAAGCTTTTGGAAGCCTTCTGCAATCTAGCTGACAAGCAATTCCTGAAATGTTCTTTACCTGGTATCTGTGACAATATACTTTCCAGATTTTTCCTAGCTATTTGGTTTTTCTCACTTGTTTTTAAAGCTTATTTTGATGCTCCTTGAAGCGCCATCAAGGAGGAAAAGGAGTGTTTTTATTAAAAGCATCTACAGAAACTAAACTCTCTTTAAGAAACTAATTACAAACAAGGTAAGCACACACCAGAAGAATTTCCTGTCCATTTTCCCTTTCATTTTCTTCAGGGGGTTTAATCAGGTAACAGTGGTTGCAGCATTTCTTCAGTTCCATCACAATATTAAGGAAACCAGATGTGCTGCCTCTTGTTCCTTTGGCAAGAGCCTTGTAATTCCTGGTCAAAATCCATCTGCAAATTAAAACAATAATGATATTATCAGATGCAAAGAAAGAGAACAGAGTATACCAGAAGATTATAAAAGGAAACACTATTACTGAGGGCATAGAGGTGGAGGGGAATTAAAAAGGCAAGGAAGGATGCTTTATCTTCTATCTCCTGCCACCTAACCAGGAACCCTCAAACATCTCCAGAGTCAGACCATTAAACATTCTATTCAGTATTTCAACCTGGCTGAGCATAGGAATATTAAAAGAGGATAATAACAATAAAAAATTTGATGTATGATGCACGGAGCTCAATGATTAAGGTTCTCTGTGACAACCTACAGGGATGGGATGGGGTAGGAGGTAGGAGGGAGGTTCAAGAGGGAGGGGACATATGTATACCTATGACTGATTCATGTTGATGTATGGCAGAGACCAACATGATATCCTCCAATTAAAAGTAAATACTTTTTTTTTAAGAAAGCCAAGGCAAAATATATATATACATATATATATACTACAACATATATTACATTTATGTATTTTACATAAACAATGACTGTCACTGAAGCTGTCTTTAATATAGTATAAAAGTGGAAATTAAGCTATCACAAATTAGAAAGTCAGGTAAATAAATGAAATACATCAAAGACAGAAGCTACATATCCATTTAAATTGTGTAAAAGGGAGTTTTACAGAATACAGTGCTCTTGGAAAGAAGGGAGGACAGGGTACATGAATATTCACACATATCCAAATAAGCTCTAACCACAAACCCCAAAATATGAGAAGCACTTTTCTTCTGCACTGTGAAATTTCTTTTTACTTTTAGCAATCACATGTTTAGGAACCCATGTCAAAGAGGGATGCTCAAAGACTATAGCACTATTTATAAAAGGCAAGTATTCGGAAATATCCAAATCTCCATCACTGAAGGACTAGTAGTGAACTTTTCCACAGATCCACTATGCAGTTGTAAAAAGGAAGGGCTGCCTGTCGCTGTAAACTACTGTGGAGTGTTCCCCAGCACAGCTGTTTGGCACCACTAAGTGGAAAAAGTAAGGTACAAAAAGATGCACACAGTGTGCTACCATCTGTATAAGAAGAGAAAGGCCAAAACAAGTTAGTGTGTATCTGCTTGTATTTTAAAAATTAAAAATAAAGGAAAGATAAACATTAAGATTTTTAAATATAATAGTAGTCATTACCTAAGGAGAAGAGAAACTAGAATGGAGGAGACAAGGATGGAAGGCAGGTATCTCTGAACAGGCCAGTCTTGGCAGTTTTGGCTTTGGATCTCTGTTAACTATTATAATCATAAACAAAATTAAACAAAGCAATTCCTTAAAAATAAATTTCCCTCTCTCTGACTATATATAAACTGCTATTTAAATCTGTGTTGAGCCCTCACTAAAAAAGGCAGTTTACCTGTCAGTTCTCCCATGTTTTCCTGGCACTGATCTTAATCCCATTTGGGCCTGACTCAGCCAATGACTTACTTATAATACTGTTTCTGAAGGGCTGACATCTCCACTCTGAGAATCTGTTCCACTTTGGCAGGAAGAGATTTCTCTACATCTTTCTTCACTCTCCGGAGAAGGAAAGGCTCTAGCACCTTATGAAGACTCTGATAGCCATTCTCTCTCCCTTTCCCATGGTCTTCTTCAAAATCTTCCCAGAACTCAAACCTAGAGATAAAACAGAACAGTGCTACTCAATTACATAGGAGAAAAAAAAATTTCTTTTTCCAAATAAAATTTCTTTTTTGAAGAACCAACTAGGAAAAAAAAAATAGTCTGTTAAAAAAAAAATGAGTCTTCCCTATAAGGATAAATAAATTTTATCTTTCACTAGCTCTTGAATACAAGAGATTGGAAAACAAAAAGGCAAGGGAAAATCAACTGAATCAATTTCATCAGTCTATGCTGGATAACAGTAGTTTCCAATTCTCAGACTGGATCCAGGGTTCACAAAATATTTCAATAAATCATGCACTTAGTACATAAGTAACATACTTTATTTTTTTGGGCTCCAAAATCACTGCAGATGGTGACTGCAGCCATGAAATTAAAAGACGCTTACTCCTTGGAAGGAAAGTTATGACCAACCTAGATAGTATATTAAAAAGCAGAGACATTAATTTGCCAACAAAAGTCTGTCTAGTCAAGGCTATGGTTTTTCCAGTGGTCATGTATGGATGTGAGAGTTGGACTGTGAAGAAAGCTGAGCATCGAAGAATTGATGCTTTTGAACTGTGGTGTTGGAGAAGACTCTTGAGAGTCCCTTGGACTGCAAGGAGATCCAACCAGTCCATCCTAAAGGAGATCAGTCCTGGGTGTTCATTGGAAGGGCTGATGCTGAAGCTGAAACTCCAATACTTTGGCCAACTCATGTGAAGAGTTGACTCACTGGAAAAGACCCTGATGCTGGGAGGGATAGGGGGCAGAAGGAGAAGGTGACAACAGAGGATGAGATGGCTGGGTGGCATCACCAACTCGATGGACATGAATCTGAGTAAACTCCAGGAGTTGGTGATGGACAGGGAGGCCTGGCGTGCTGCAGTCCATGGGGTTGCAAAGAGTCGGACACGACTAAGCGACTGAACTGAACTGAATGTGTTATTGTGATAAAATGTTAGGTAGAAAATTAATCATAAACTATTGTTTAATAAGCTGCAATTTATAGTGAAAACAATATTCAGAGATAAAAGAATAATTAGTGGTGATATCACAGCTGTCACCAAAGGTAAAAATTATATCGTTTCCATCAGTCATCCTTACTGCTCACAGATTTAAAATAGATTACAATGACAGTCAACCACACAACAGCCCCCAGACAAAAAGAAGGATATGTGATACAAATCTGATACTAACAGAACTTGGGAGGCACAAAATTTACTAATGAAATTTAAAAACATGTCACCCATAACAAATTCTACCTGAACTCTACAGATCAAAGTTTCTCCTGTATAAATATTAATTCAACCATCCTTGGATCACTAAAGGATCTGTGGCAGAAATTCAGTATGGGACATTTTGATCAAAGTTCTTTCAAAAATAAAAATTGAAAGAAGTTTATTTCACAGGGCTTAGAAAAATAAGTTCTGACTTGCCACATGAAAGCCAACAAAGCACTTGGAAGAAGCTGCTTAGTTTTGTGTACAGACCGAAGCTCAGCAGAGAAGATGCTGCCCACAGCCTGCCTTCCAACAGCAGCATGCCCTGCTGTGCAGACGTCAGTCAAGTCCCGGAATTATAGGTTTAGGACTCGACATTACCTAGAGCTACCATGTAATGAGATCTCTGATAAGAAAGTCAAAGACAGCAAATGTCAGCACTGCCACTGGCCACAAGGAAGTCACCGCCTGCTGCCACCTCTGAACTCATGGATGGCCAGGCAAGCAAGTCATCAGGCACTAGGAGCATCCGTTTCAAGCCCACGTGACACCTGGTAATGCCTGAAACAACCATGCTCAGAGGTAGAGAAAACAACCTTTAGAGGCAGAGATCTGAAAATACCATTAAAGCATCTCCCTCGACAAACCAAAGGTACACTGTATTTTGCCACACTGCTAGGAAGATAAGAACATAAAATAAATTGAAGAATTAAAACTGATAAGAGGATTAAAAGGAACAACGTAAAAAGTGAGCTATCTCAACAGCATCTCAACGCAAAATGTATGAGTCAACTGGAAGTGAAGACCATTCCTATACATCAGGCTATTTTCTGAAGAGTTGGGAGATAAATAATTTCAAGACAATGTTTTAATTTACAAAACACATATTATAATTACAATTACACTAGTCTAAAAACTTAAATAATGAACTTTTTTTAAACAAGACTCACTGCTCCTACTGTTTTAGGCAACAAATACTTTCACCCACCTAATGTACTCTTATTGCGTTAAAGGAGCTAATATGAGATATTGTTTCTTAGATAGATACTGAATTATTTACAAATTGCCTTTGGCTGCTTTCTGTCTATACAGATGAGTAGCTGTGACAAACCACATGCCTAGCTGAAATGTTTACTACCAGGTTCTTTAAGGAAAATTTGCTGGTCCATGCACTGGACAACTGTCAGTTTGTACTACCATGGATATAAAAGGTGTACCGTAATCATGGTGAACTTATGATGATACTACATCACAGCCTAGAAAGTAACTATTTTAGACATTTCTCTGTTAATCAACTTCTGTATTTAACATATGACTCTCACCAAAGTAGAAACAATTCTGCATTTTCCAGATCTTGGGATTTTGGATAAACAGAAGCTCACTCTAGTGCGGAACAACAAAAAAGAAAATTAAATCAAAGTAGGTAGAATGATATATTAGAAGTCATGTGATAAATATGTGAAAGGAAAAGTGCAAAAAAATTCAGACTGGTCTAGACAGCAGAAGCAAAACAACAACTACAAAACACTAAGAGGTAAAAATCTCTGAAAATACTCTATCAAACAGTTATTTTGCAGGGTGGGTATGAAATACACATTTGCACATGATTATATGTATACGCTGAATTCTTTGATGTAGCCATAGCCCTTTCTCGCTTTAAAAGCAAGCCCCATACTTTGCAAAAACACTACATACAAAAAAAAAAAAAAAAACCACAGTGGCTCACTGATACATATCTCTAGTAAGAGTAGTAACCACATACAGTAAGGGTAGGCTCCTGGTCAGAGTCGCCGTGCAGAAAAGGTGATTGGATCGACTCTGCACAAAGGAAACACCATCTTGGTTGGTTAAAAAGAACACTAACTTTTGGATGCTGAGAACAATGGCCTATCACAGCTGAGGAAGGGAAAGTTCAGAAGTTATGTGAGTAAACCTCTCCTGTACAATGACACTTCTTCAGTGGGTCACTTTCCTAAAAGGAACAACAGTTGTCGAGAGCCGTAATGAACTTCAGAACCACCACACAGGGCAGGGGAAAAGTACTCCACAGGATTTGTCATCCACACAGCTCAGAGGGAAACAAAGGAAGCCTAAACTCAGTTAATGGGTTTCCTTCTTATACATACATCTTTGTGAAAAATGGTTTTTTAAATGTCTGAAAATAATAATGTTTTAAAAACATTACAAAGTTTACAAAGAGAAAAAGCTCTCTTACACATACACATACTTATACACACACATGCATACAGACACACACAGAGTGCATCTCTTAACTCCAATCCATCCTCCTATAATTATCCAAATGGCCACATGGAAAACTTTGGCAAACACTAACTGAATGATCATCTCTAGTGGAAAAAAAGTAATTCAAAGTTCCTGTCTTCAATTATAAAAACAAGATACATAAAACTTTTTTCCAAAATGTAGCCCATGCTGGGTGGGATGCCGCAGTTGCTTAAGAGCAACAAAAGATTAATTATGACCATTTAGGAGTCAAAATCCCTACCATCCACACTTCACCATTTGTACAAAAGGACAAATCTTAGCTAACCATTCACTGGAGGAAACTAAGCATCACATTTCTTTCTCTAGAAAATGAGTACATATGTTCCCACAGGCCGCAAGGTTCCTACTATGTAGAATACTTCTACTTCATCTCTATGGTGCTAGGAAGGATGTACTATTTCTCTTTAGAATTTGAAGTTTAAAGGACATGGGCCTGGGTCACAGAAGACCAGAGATCGATCTTGGTCTATCCACTTATTAACCATATGATATGAGACACATCGATCTCAGTCTATCCACTTATTAACCATAAGATATGAGATACATTTTCATCATCTAAGACAGCATATTCTCACTACAGCCTAAGACTAAACATACACAGTGTATCAAAAGTCAGATACAAGAAAACAATATGAAAACTCTATAGTAATATACTTGAAAATTCTCTTATCCATTTCAGAAAACAAAGATAATAATTGATACCCCCACTGTTTCTAAACTTTCATTCATCATCTGTTTTATAGCATGTACATTTTGAAAAACACACTTTATAAGAACATGGGCTTCTGCTAACACATGATGGGCAGGGTATTTATTACAGAATGGACAATAGAATGTTTAAAAAGAGAAGGGGGAAACTGCCTCCCTCCTCAAAAAGGTGACTGCTACTGACTTACAGCGCTCTGTGGGAGGAACAGAGGATCCAGGTGAGCAGCAAACGGGACATGGAGAAGATCAGCAGCAAGCCAGGGTGGGGAGGGTGGAGGACGGCAGATGAGCAGTGTGGGGAGACAGCAGGAACTCTCTCGACTGGTGGTGACTTCACCCCTCTGGGGGACACTCGGCAATGTCTAGAGACATGTTTGGTTGCCACAACTGGGGGAGGGGGGTCACTCCTGGCATGGAGTAGGTAGTGGGCATGGATGCTACTGCACATCATAAAATGCAAAGGAGAGCCATCCCCCATTTTGCAAAACAGAATTATCCAGTCCAAAATGTCAACAGTGCTGAGGTTAAGAAACTCTGTTCCAAGAGAAGGCAGAGGAAGGAAGGGTGCGGGGTGGAGGGCGCCTTCTCTCTCACAGGCATACTATAGTGAGGACGTCTGCAAGAAAAGGAAATGGTCTAAGCCTGTTCTACCAACCACGGCAGTAAGAACATAGTAAGAGTAGTCAAGTTTCTCTGTCTCCTGAGGAGTCTCAAACTATTCTTTAAAACTAAAGGTGAAAAGAGAACATCACAGACGAATGAAGACAGAATTTGTGGTTACCCTCATCACCTGATGAG